TGTATCGTTTTTATCCACTTCCTCACTCCCACTGGGCTTTAAGCTGACCCAGGCATGAGCTTTTGTTTGAATTCCCAGAATCTAGCTTAGTATTTCCACTGTACCACTCCCCCTCAGGCAAGTCATGTAACCTCTCTCCTTTCCTCACCTGTAAAATGGGACAAATCAGGAGGCTGAGGCAGGAGAATGGTTTGAACCAGGTAGTCGGGGGTTGCAGTGAGCTGAGATCACACCACTGTACTTCACCCTGGCAACAGAGCAAGACTCTGTTAAAAAAAAAAAAAACAGAAACTGGGGACAAATGTACCTATCCTATAGTTAGAAGGAGTAACGAGAGTAAATTTAAAGCATTTACAACAGTCCCTGGCGCTAGTATGTGTGATTACAATAAATGTGTGTGTTAGAAGGTACTTGGTAAATGCTGTAAAGACCTTTCCCTGGACCCCCCCCCACCCCAGCAGTTAGGTGCTCTCCTGGTTCTCAGAAAGATGGAACTAGACGGCAAACTGGGGCTTGTGACTCACTAGGCCACTCTTCTGTGTTTTGATTTTCTAGTGCCCAAGGTTGAAGCAATGAATAAAAGACTGGGTTCCCTGGTGGATGAATTTAAGGAGCTTGTTTACCCACCAGATTACAATCCTGAAGGGAAAGTTACCAAGAGAAAACACGGTGAGGAGCTGCATGTGGATATGTGGGCTATTTTTAAAAGTTGCTTTTATGATGGTATTATCACAGTGGGCAGTATCCTTTCAGAAATACATACTCAGATTCCAGTTAGAATGGCTTTTATCCAAAAGACAGGCAGTAACAAATGCTGGCAAGGATGTGGAGAAAAGGGAACCTTCATGCATTGTTGGTGAGAATGTAAATTAGTATGGCCATTATTAAGGAGAATAGTTTGGAGTTTCCTCAAAAAGTGAAAAGTAGAGCTACCATATATATGATCCAGCAACCCCGCTGCTGGGTATACACCCAGAAGAAAGGAAATCAGTCTGTCGAAGATACATGTGCACTCCCATGTTTATTGCAGCACCATTCACAATAGTCAAGATTTGGAAGCAACCTGTGTGCATCAGCAGATGACTACATAAAGAAACTGGTACACATACACAGTGGAATATTCAGCCGTAAAAAAGAATGAGATCCTGTCATTTGCAATAATATGTTAAGTAAACCAGGCTCAGAAAGACAGACATTTGCATGTTCTCACTTACTTGTGGAATCTAAAAATGGGAACAATTGAACTCATGGAGATAGAGCATAGAAGGATGGAGAAACATAGTGGAGCATTGAGGTGGAGATGGTTAATGGGTACAAAAAATATTGAGTAGCATCTGTTTGATAACAGACTATAGTCAATAATAATTTAATTGTACATTTTAAAATAAAGAAATATAATTGGAATGTTTGTAGCACAAAAGATAAATGCTTGAGGGGACAGATACCCCACTTAACGCTGATGTGATTATTTTACATTGCATGCCTGTATCAGAATACCTCATGTACCCCATAAACTGATGGCATTCACACTACTCGTAACTCCTTCTAGGTGTGATACATGTTCTAGGCTGGCATCACGGCTTTATGGAAAATGGTTAATTGCAGCCCAGATTATATGATGGTCCCATTCCATGTAGCTGTGATGCCACTTGTAGCATTTCCAGTCACTCCCTCTGACCTTTCCCCCAGATAATGAAGGTTCTGGAAGCAAAAGGCCCAAGGTGGAGTATTCAGAAGAAGAGCTGAAGACCCACATCAGCAAGGGCACACTGGGCAAGTTCACTGTGCCCATGCTGAAAGAGGCTTGCCGGGCATATGGGCTGAAGAGTGGGCTGAAGAAGCAGGAGCTGCTGGAAGCCCTCACCAAGCACTTCCAGGACTGACCAGAGGCCGCGCACCCAGCCGTCCTTCCACAGTGTGGCCAGGCTGCCTGGCCTTGTTCTCAACCAGTTAAAATGTGTTTCTCCTGAGCTAGAAAGAGTCTACCTGACAGAAGTCGAGGGACTCTATGTTTTTGAGGCTTTCTGTTGCCATGGTGATGGTGTAGCCCTCCCACTTTGCTGTTCCTTACTTTACTGCCTGAATAAAGAGCCCTAAGTTTGTACTAGATACTGTTCTTTTGTGTGGAGACAAGTGTGTCTACCTTACTCCAAAAACTCACTTGCCATCACTGGTAGCTTAATTTTCTCTTTCATTGGGAATACTCTTCACTATAGTGGAAACAAAACAAGTGTCAGTGGGGAGGGTGAGAGTGTGACAGGTCAGGGCAGGTAAAGATATTTCAGGAGTAAGAAGCCCTAGCAGGATTATATAATCCTTATCCTCAGTCCTCACCTGTTTTTCTTTAAGCATGTCAAGGTGTAAAAATCAGATTTCCAAAGCAATAAGAAGTTAACACTTAGTTCTGGGACCATTTGCTTCATGAGTAAACAACTCCCTCTCATTGCATTCCTCTTAATGCGACATTAAATTATGCAAAAATATACCCATTTTCTGTTGCCCTGAGAATTTGAGTTCCAGAATAAGTAAAATGAAGTGTTATTCCCCTTGTGTTTCAGGGGGGAACTATAGGAAGTTCAAGAAGATGAGAGGTTCTAGTATTTACAGAAGGGAAAGAGGACAGGAGTGTCTTCTCCCTTTTCTTCCTCTATGTCCCTGCTGTCCTCCCTGCCCTTTTCCTGCTCATTCTGCTGCCACTATTTTTGAAGGATTTGTCTGAAGGAAGGAGAGCATCTGGAATTATTGGTCTCCTCTGAGGATGTGAGAGTAAGGGTTTGCAGGTCCTGTGTACTTGAAGATGAATGAGCAGCACCTAATGAAGAAGAGACTAGGAGAGTCCAAATTACTCTTCTAAAAGATTTTCAGCTCTAGATTCTTTGCTCTAAGCTTTATAGGTTTTTGTGTTTTTTTTTTTTTTTAACCTGTTTTTGCTTTTGTTTCTCTTTGAAAGGAGATACTGTATTGTTTTGGATTTCCTAACATGGCAAGAGGGGAAAACAATTCTCCCATTAGATGCTTAGAAATTATTGTTGAGAAATTGGGCCGTTTCCCTTAAATGAAGCAAGTTTGGAAACTGGATCTATAGGGATTTAATCTACCAAGGTAGACTGGAATCACTAGTCAGCCAGTCACTTGGAGTAAGAGGGTTAAGGAGTAGTCTCACTGAGCCCTTGGTATCCAACCCTGGATTCTGAAGCTAGTTAAGAGCAGCCCTGGAGTGAGCTCCAGGCTGGCTTTGCTGTGCAAAGTACAGTTACTCCTCAGTAACCATGCCCAACTCTAGGCTCCTTCGCATCCTGCTTCCAAAATGGAGAGAATGAGAGTTCAGGGGTCAAACGCCTACCAGAGCCAGACAGGTATGTGAATGTTAGACAAATCACCTGAGGTCTGTGATAAACAGCAGCAGAATGAGAGATTTCTCTAAATGAATGATGCCTTCTTTGCCTGCTGAGTCCCCCCACCCAGGAGAGAAGTACCATGTTCAAGTGGAATTGGTTAGGCCTTTGGAAGCTCAGGAGGCTGATTTAGCAAATTTACATCTTAGTGTCATAATACATACAAGTGACCTTGGGCATTTATGAGGCATTTTTGAGCCTTAGCTTTCATGTTCCTATAATAACGCCACATGGTCAAAATGAGAAAACATGTAAAAGGACACAGCACTCAGTAGGTACAGTTGACCCTCTGCACCTGCGGGCTCCACATCCATGTTTTCAACCAATGTGGATCAAAAATACTTGGGGAATAAATGAATGGCTGCAACTGTAATGAATATGTACAGACTTTTTTTTTTTTTTTTTTTTTTTTTTGAGACCTAGTCTCACTCTAGTCACCCAGGCTGGAGTGCCGTAGCATGATCTCAGCTCACTGCAACCTCCGCCTCCCAGGTTCAAGCAATTCTCTGCCTCAGCCTCCCGAGTAGCTGGGATTACAGGTGTGTGCCACCATGCCAAACTAATTTTTGTATTTTTAGTAGAGACGGGGGTTTCACCATGTTGGCCCGGCTGGTCTCGAACTCCTGACCTCAGGTGATCCACCCGCCTCGGCCTCCCAAAGTGTTGGGATTACAGCCGTGAGCCACTGGGCCCAGCTGACTAATGACAAAATTAACCCTAGCCAGGCATTCGAGATCAGCCTGGCCAACATGGTGAAACCCCGTCTCTACTAAAAATATAAAATTAGTCAGGTGTGGTGGTGGGAGCCTGTAATCCCAGGTACTCGGGAGGCTGAGGCAGAGAATTGCTTGAACCCGGGAGGCGGAGGTTGCAGTGAGCTGAGATCATCCCACTGCACTCCTGCCTGGGTAACAGAGAGAGACCCAGTCTCAAAAATAAAAAAAAAATTAGCCTGTTGTGGCGCGCGCCTGTAAGTCCCAGTTACTCAGAAGGCTGAAGCAGGAGAAGCGCTTTAACCCAGGAGGCGGAAGTTGCAGTGGACCAAGATCGCATCACTGCACTCCAGCCTGGGAGACAGAGTGAGGCTCCGTCTCAATCAATCAATCATGCATCTGGGAGGCCGTGCGTAGCTCATATGCAAATACTGTGCCAGGTTACCTCAGGGACGTAGTCAGCGTCGCATTTGGGTATCGGCTTGGAGGGTCGACCGAGCTTGACTTCTACCGCGGCCATTGCGCTTCCATCCGCCAGGTGGCAACATAGCCGGCGCGGAGCGCGGACCTGGACCTGCGCATGTGCGCCACGAACGAGGCGGGCCGAGTTCCTGCGCCTGGGAGCCATTAGTGGAAGGGTGTGGCGGCCTAAGCTCGGCTGCGCCCGGGTTCCGGTGGCCGCTGCCGCAGGTCTAGAGCACAAATCCGTTTAGCCAAAACTTAAACAAACACACGGATGCACATATGTCTGTTTACCTTTAGGTCAGGTGCAGAGGGAATGTCTGGAATGGCACTCGAAAGCTGCAGTTACTTGGGAGGATGAGCCTTTTACGTCTCAGCGTGTCCCCTTCTGTAATGTCTTGTTTTAATATCTTACTAAAAACCAGAAGAGGTGCTTGCTTCGGCAGCACATGTACTAAAATTGGAACGATACAGAGAAGATTAGTATGGCCCCTGCGCAAAGATAACACGCAAATTCGTGAAGCGTTCCATATTGAAAAACAAAAACAAAAAACCAGAAGAGGCCGGGCGCGGTGGCTCACACCTGCAATCCCAGCACTTTGGGAGGCGGATCACCTGAGGTCAGCAGTTCGAGACTAGCCTGGCCAACATGGCGAAACCCCGTCTCTACCAAAAATACAAAAAAATTAGCCAGGCATGACAGCGGGCGGCTGTAATCCAGCTACTCAGGAGGCTGAGGCACGCGAATCGCTTGAACCCGGCTGTCAGAGGTTGCAGTGAGCCGAGATCGCACCACGGCACTCCAGCCTGGGTGACAGGGCGAGACTCCGAGACTCCATCTCAAAAAGAAACAAAAAACTGAAGTAAGGCAAGGCAGGACCACAAGCTGTGAGGGAGATTAGTCATCCACTTTCTCTCTGCCCACTATCCAGAAATTCCATCCTCATGAGAATCCCTATTAGGAGAGGAAACATATCCCTGTTATACTGCATTCAGCCTTTCTTGTTTGAGCCACACTGGCCCTGACTGTACTGATCCTGCTGTAACATTGTCTGCATCATGTATGAAAGTGAATCCTACGTGGATTTCTATCTTCTGGGGACTCAGGCAGCTCATGGCCATGACACTTCTGGTGTTCCTCCCTGCCCTACAATTTTAGCATCACCATCTTTATTATTTATTTATTTCTGACTACAAAGATCCAGAAGAGAAACATGACCATTTCTTTCTTTTTTTTCCCCCCTGGGAAAAAAGCATCTTGCTGGCGTGCAGTGGTACGATCTCGGCTCACTGCAACCTCCGCCTCCTGGGTTCAAGTGGTTCTCCAGCTGGGATTACGTGCTGGATCTCCAGCTGAATCTCCATGTGCCTGGCCGAAACATGACTATTTTTATTACTGCTTCGATAAGGTGACCCCACCCCTTCATCACTGCCCAGCTCCCTCCTCCCCCCTTAGTTATGTATTGCTGTGTAACAAATTACCCCCCAGAATGACTGGCTTAAAACAATAAACATTCCTCTCCTACCTGAAAACTCCAGTGAGGCTGGAGGATCCATTTGCTGGGAGGCTGTAATGAGCATGCTTCCAATTTTCTCCGTCTTATGTTTTGACATCCTGGGGGGCCTTCCAGGGCTAGCTTACTCCTAGAGACACTTACCGCATGTTTTGCAAGAATGCCTCTCATCCACGCCAGCCACCTCCTTCACCTTTCACACACCAAGCCATTATTCCCCTTGTACTAAATCACCCCAGGACCAGGTGCCAGGCAACTAGAGACCACCCTGTAGCCCAAAGCCCACTGGAATGAATCAAACTAGCCAATCCTAAACCAATTATTCTGCCCTGCCTTTCCTGAGGAAACTGTGATAAAGGCTGTGGCCCTTGGTCTAATTCTGCCTCCTCAACAAAGCCCGATGCTTCTCCCATGGTCCCTGTGTGGTATGGAATGTCCCTTCTCTGGGGAATGTAATACATTCTGGCCAGGTGCGGTGGCTCCTGCCTGTTATCCCAGCACTTTGGGAGGCCGAGCCAGGGGATCACAAGGTCAGGAGATCAAGAGCATCCTGGTCAACATGGTGAAACCCCGTCTCTACTAAAAATACAAAAAATTAGCCTGGCATGGTGGCACGAACCTGTAGTCCTAGATATTCGGGAGGCTGAGGCAGGAGAATAGCTTGAACCTGGGAGGTGGATGTTGCAGTTAGCCAAGATCCCGCCACTGCACTCCAGCCTGGGTGATAGAGCGAGACTGTCTCAAAAAAAAAAAAAAATGTAATACATTCTTTCAATGGCATTGACTTCTCTGTTTCATCATTCAATCTCTGTTTATTAAAATCTCACAGATACAAATGAAACAGACTCATTCCCATGGCTGGCAAAGTTGATGCCAACTGTTGGCTAGAGGCCTTAAGACCTCTATGTCCTTAAGTCCATGGCAGCTGACTTCCCTTATAGCCAGTTATTTGAAGAGATGAAGGCAGATTCCAAGTTACACAGACCAGCCCTGAGTTGGTGTGGGAGACTATAGAAGGGCATCAATTGCAGGTGAGGATCACTGGGGCCATCTTGGAGGCTGGCTGCCGCAGGGAATTGTGGGTATTGACTTGCTACATTAAATTATTTCCTTCCTTCACAAGAGTATAGTTATCCTCCATCCCTATGACCCCACCCCCAAGTAGATATATCAACTCAAGCCAGAGGCCATACTTGATTTTTCAAAATGTAACCTGGGCTGGGCATGGTGAGTCATGCCTGTAATCCCAGCACTCTGGGAGGCCGAGGCAGATGGATCACCTGAGGCCAGGAGTTCAAGACCGGGCTGGCCAACATGGTGAAACCCTGTCTCTACTAAAAATACAAAAATTAGCCGGGCATGGTGTTGCGCACCTGTAAGCCGAGCTACTTGGAAGCTGAGGCAGGAGAATCGCTTGAACGTGGAAGGCAGAGGTTGCAGTGAGCAGAGACTGCATCACTGCATTCGAGCCTGGGCAACAGATCGAGACTCTGTATCAAAAAAAAAAAAAAAAGGCTGGGTGTTGTGGTTTACACCTGTAATCCCAGCACGTTGAGAGGCCAAGGTGGGTGGATCACAAGGTCAATAGATTGAGACCATCCTGACCAACATGGTGAAACCCTGCTTTCCTAAAAATACAAAAATTAGCCAGACATAGTGGTGCACACCTGTAGTCCAAGCTACTCAGGAGGCTGAGGCAGGAGAATCGCTTGGACCCAGGAGGCGGAGATTGCAGCCAGATAATATTGGGCCATTGCACTTCAGCATGGCAAGAGTGAGATACTTTCCCAAAAAAAAAAAAAAAAAAACAAAGTAAACTAATGCTACAGGGATGGGAGACACTCACTTCCTAGAACAAGCTCCCTTCCCCATCCATCAGGTTGAGATCAAAGAATGGAAACATATTGTTCAAATACAACAAATAATCTCTTTAGGTCAATACTGTAAATGTAAAACTATTTAATTGCAGGTTATCCTCGGAAAAGAGTTTCAGGAAACACTGTCAGAAGTTCCTAACCCGTCATGTTTGGGGTCAGAGGAACCTTTTAGACCCGAGGAAAGCAATAGAGTCTCTCTCTAAAATACAATGTTTAGAAACAATAATCAGAAACCAATCTCGGGCCAGGTACAGTGGCTCACACCTGTAACCCAGCACTGCAGGAGGCTGAGGCAGGTGGAGCACTTGAAGTCAGGAGTTTAAGACCAGCCTGGCCAACATGGTGAAACTCCGTATCTACAAAAAAATACAAAAATTCGGCCAGGTGTAGTGGCTCAAGCCTGTAATCCCAGAGTTTTGGGAGGCAAAGGTGGGCGGATCAGGACATCAAGAGATTGAGACCATCCTGGCCAACATGGTGAAACCCCATCTCTACTAAAAGTAACTAAAAATACACACCCACACACACACAAAATTAGCTGGGCGTAATGGCATGAGCCAGTAGTCCCAGCTATTCGGGAGGCTGAGGCAGGAGAATCCCTTGAACCCAGGAGGCGAAAGTTGCAGTGAGCCGAGATTGCACCACTGCACTCAAGCCTGGTGACAGAGAAAAACTCTGCCTAAACAAAAAAAAAATTCCAGCCTAGCCAACATAGTGAAACACTGTCTCTACTAAAAATACAAAAGGTAAACGGGCATGGTGGCGCCATGCCTGTGGTCCCAGCTACTCAGGAGGCTGAGGCAGGTTCCTCACTTGAACCTGGGGAGACAGAGGTTGCAGTTAGCCAAGATTGTGCCACTGTACTCCAGCCTGGGCAAGAGAGAATCTGTCTCAAAAAAATAAAATAAAATAAAATAAAATAAAAACTGACATTAGTTATGTTTAAGTTAAAACAAAAATAGAATGTCATAGAGTTAGGTGGAAAAGGAAATTATGGTAGCAAGGAAAGGCCCCAAATAAGTGATATTTGAAGGAAGACTAGAATGATGAGAAAGCCAGTGAGGTAAAGGAATACCAGGTACAAATAATTTGAGAAGGAAACAGCTTTGGAGTGTTCAAAAAACAAAATGTGTAGCGCCAGTACCCCAAGTTATTCCAGAGGCTGAGGCAGGAGGATCACTTGAGCCCAGGAGTTTGAGGCTACAGTGAGCTATAAACACACCATTGCACTCTCACCTGAGTGAGACTGTCTCTTAAAACAAAAACATGTAACACTTGGCCGGGTGTGGTGGCTCATGCCTGTAATCCCAGCACTTGGGAGGCTGAGGCGGGCAGATCATGAGGTAAGGAGATTGAGATCATCCTGGGCAACATGGTGAAACCCGTTTCTACTAAAAATCCAAAAATTTGGCCAGGTGTAGTGGCCCACGCTTGTAATTGCAGCACTTTGGGAGGCCGGGGCAGGTGGATCACGAGGTCAGGAGTTTGAGACCAGTCTGGCCACTATGATGAAACTCCATCTCTACCAAAAATATAAAATTAGCTGGGCATGGTGGCACAAACCTGTAGTCCTACCAACTCTGGAGGCAGAATTGCTTGAACCCGGGAGGCAGAGGTAGACAGTGAGCTGAGATCAGGCCACTGCACTCCAGCCTGGGCTACAGAGCGAGACTCCATGTAAAAACAAAACAAATTTAGCCAGGGGTGGTGGCGTGTGCCTGTAGTCCCAGCTACTCAGGAGGCTGAGGCAGGAGAATTGCTTGAACCTGGGAGGCGGAGGCTGCAGTGAGCTGAGATCATGCCACTGCACTCCAGGCTGGGCAACAGAACAAGACTCTGTTTCAAAAAAAAAAAAGCAACACTCAGCAAAGATGGAACTTCCAGTACAGTGCAATCTCTGCATCCCGGGTTCAAGCAATTCTCCTGCCTCCACTTCCTGAGTAGCTGGGATTACAGGCATGTGCCACCACGCCCAGCTAATTTTTGTATTTTTAGTAGAAACAGGGTTTCACTATGTTGGCCAGGCTGGTCTTGAACTCCTGACCTTGTGATCTGCCTGCCTCGGAGGCAGATCACTTACATACATACACCTAGGCTATAAACCTGTACTGCATGTTACTGAATACTGAAGGCAATTTTAACACCATGGTATTTTTATATCTAAATATAGAAAAGGTACAGTAAGAGCATAGTATTATACTCTTATGGGACAACTGCCATATATATGGTCCATCATTGACCAAAAACACTGAATGCACAGCTGTGAAAAGCACTGTGTAAAATTCCACCATCCAGAAATATAAAACTGCCTCGGGGGTGGCGATAACACTGGAGCAAGCTGGGAGAAATGACAAGCCCAGTAGGCACAGAACAGGTCTAACAGGACAAGGTAGCTCCCAGTTTCCTCCAGGTGTGCTTCTTGCTGGAGCAGGGTTATACTGGCCCAAGCTGGCAAAGAGGGGATCTATACTCACCTGACCACTATGGTGCCCCGTTATTTGCACAATGGAAGATTTCTCAAGCTGAGGTATTAGGCTCTCAAGGGACTTACCCTTAAGATAGTTAAGAAGAGGCAAGTGAGGTGGCAGTGGCTTTAGTCACCAATACCAACCCTGCATGTGCCAAGGGTTACTAGAAACCCTGATTCCTAACAGTGATTCACAGTTGGGGGTGATTTTATTGCCGGAGGCATCTGACAATGTCTTGGAAACATTTTTTTTGGTTGTGGGGGCGCTGCTACTGCCACCTAGTGGGTAGAGGCCAGTGATGCTACTAAACATCATACAACACACAGGGCAGTTCCCACAAAATTAACCAGCCCCAAATGTCAAAAGTACAGATGGGGCCGGGTGCGGTGGCTCAAGCCTATAATCCCAGCACTTTGGGAGGCTGAGGCGGGTGGATCACAAGGTCAAGAGATCGAGACCATCCTGGCCAACATGGTGAAACCCCGTCTCTACTAAAAATAAAAAAATTAGCTGGGCATGGTAGCACGTGCCTATAATCCCAGCTACTCAGGAGGCTGAGGCAGGAGAATTGCTTGAACCCAGGAGGCGGAGGTTGTGGTGAGCCGAGATCGCACCATTGCACTCCAGCCTGGGTAACAAGAGCGAAACTCCGTCTCAAGAAAAAGTACAGAGGGAAAGCCAGCTCCAGTGATAGCAATGCTCCAATTGAGTCTGTATAAGATGATGTTTTGAACTGCCAAGACAGAAACTACCTGGTAGGAGGAAACAGCTCTTTCATAGCCTTCTGGTAAAAATGTCTTAAGCAGCTGGTAAGGTATGGTGGCTTACACCTGTAATCCCAACACTTTGTGAGGCTGAGATGGTGGATCACCTGCGGTCAGGAGTTCAAGACTAGCATGTCCAACATGGTCCCATCTTTACTAAAAATACAAAAAATCAGCCAGGCGTCATGGTGCATGCCTATAATCCCAGCTACTTGGCAGGCTGAGATAGGAGAGTCGTTTGAACCCAGGAGGCAGAGGCCACAGTGAGCCGAGAGATCATGCCATTGCACTCCAGCCTAGGCAACAAGAGCGAAACTCTTTCTGGAAGAAGAAAAGCACCTATCACCAGTCTAGTAATGCTATGTCTTCATTCCAGTATGAGCTGGATACCTACTAAGAATCAGGCATTGCCATTCTCTCATGAAAATGGAATTTATTTTTTTATTAGGATGCTCACAGAAGAACACATGAACCAGCACTAGTGTGATAAAGAGTACATCTGACCCACACTGTGGCACAACACAGGGGAAGGGCTCTCAGAGCTGGTGCCAACTGTCCACCAAAGAAAGTCCCATTCACCAGAGGAAGGTTGTTTCCTTAGATTCCATCGTCTCTGCTGCAGCTACCAGCCAGGTCTTCATGGTCTTCCAGGAATCCAGTTCATGTTCTCTGCCCTTGCCACTCCTGACACTTTCGAGACCTAGGTCGACTGCCTCATGGCTCACTCACCCAGGTCACCTCTGGAATCCTGCAGCACATCTCTTTGGTATGCTGCTGCCCTGCCACCCTCAAGGGCATGGTTGGGGGTTGGGGGAGAACATCAACATCAATCACATTATCAAAAGCAAACAGCAGGGGTACATTAGTAAATGATACTTGGACATAGCCTAACTACCTCACAGAACACATGCTTCCTCCCCAAATGATACATAATGCCCCAAGAACAAAGAAAACTTCTTGATCACTTTAACAGGTATGAATGATTCCGTGTGCCAGGCACAAGGGATACACAATGAATGGTATTTAATTCCACCATACTCTGCACACAATAGGAAGCTAGTGGCTAAAAGCCAGGAACTAGGTCTCTATCCTAGTTCCATCAGCTTTCTCCTGACTCTTTGTGCCTTTGAATGGTGCCACCGTCCTGCTTCAGCCTGTTCTGAACATTTGTTCGTTTTTCAAAAGGGAGGATAAAAGGATGAAGGATGGCAGAGAGAGGGAGGAAAGGAAGGGGGAAAACAACCCTATAAAACAGAACAAAAACACCACACAAATCCAGAAACCAGATTTAGTACTACAACATTTTATAACAATAGAGAATAGCTGAAACTACTACATGCTAACACAAACAATATGATACACAACCTCGGGGGAGAATTTGGCAGGGAGCACGTGGCAGAGGCCACAGGTTTAGACCAAGAGCCTTTCAATGGACTGCTGAATGGATTGAATCTGCTGTTTCAGCTGTGAGCCTTCTTTGATGGTGACGGAACAGGCGATGACAGGCCTGGAGACCCCACAGGCTCTCCCCAGGGCCTGCTTGGAGCGCACAAACACATAGGGCACGTTCTTGTCTTCGCACAGCAGCGGGAGGTGCAGAATGATCTCCAGTGGCTCAGCATCTGCAGCCATCACAATGAACTCAGAGATGCCCCTGTTGAGGGTTTTGGTGGCTGTGGAGAGAAGGGTGTGAAACTAATAGGTGATGTGGGCTTGGGCAGGGCAGCCACAACAAAGCAATTTCCAGAAAAAATTACAGGTACAAGAAAACTGGGCAAAATGCCTAGGCACATATAATTATGAGAGCGGCCCTGGGATATGACAAAAGATTCAACACAATGGCCTCTGCTGAAACCCTGCATTAAACCCACCACTTATCTTCAAAACACGTCCTGAATCTCATCACTTCTTCCTTTTATTTTTTTGAGACGGAGTCTTGCTCTTTTCCAGTTGGAGTGCAGAGGCGCAATCTCAGCTCATTTCAACCTCCACCTCCTGGGTTTAAGTGATTCTCCTGCCTCAGCCTCTCAAGTAGTTGGAATTACAGGCAAGTGCCACTGTGCCTGGCTAATTTTTGTATTTTTAGTAGAGACAAGGTTTCACCATGTTGTCCAGAATTCCTGACCTCAAGTGATACACCCACCTCGACCTCCCAAAGTGCTGAGCTTACAAGCTTAGGCCACTGTGCCCGGCCTAATCTGACCACTTCTTTCTACTCCTCTGCTACACTTGTCCAAGTCACCATCATCTCTTACCTTGTCAGCTGCAACAGCTTTCACAAACCCCACCAGCAAGAATTAGTATATTAATAATACAGTATTTCTCAAGGTATGTGTGACCAAGAGTCAGAGTTTTACTATCTCAATCTGCCATAATCAATACTTCTAGGAAGCTCACCCAACACGTGACTCACCATGCAAGTTCAACAACCCACAGCACCATTTCAGATGCCTACTATCCTGATGGCTTGCCTCTGTGGCTCAGTCCGAATACGCTGCATTCATGCCGGAGTACTCGACAAGGGCACACACTCTAGAGCTACACTGCCTGAGTGCAAATGAGAGCACTCATTGTCGTTTCACAAACGACTTTTAGCAAGGTATTTAACTTCCCTTACATTTATCATCTATAAAGTAACACAGTACAATAATTCTACCTAATAGGATTCTTTAAAGGATTAAACAAGTTAATAAGAATGGGGCCGGGTGCTGTGGGAGGCCGAGGTGGGATCACCTGAGGTCAGGAGTTCAAGACCAGCCTGGCCATCATGGTGACACCCCATCTTAAAAAAAAAAAAAGTTAATAAGAATGATGAGGCTGGGCACAGTGGCTTGTACCTATAATCCCAGCAGTTTGTGAAGCCGAGGCAGGCAGACTGTTTGAACCCAGAAGTTTGAGACCATCCTGGGCAACATGGCAAAACCCCATCTCCACTAAAATATAAAAAGTCAGCCAGGTGTGGTGGTGTGTACCTGTAGTTCCAGCTACCTGGGAGGCTGAGGTGGGAGGATCACCTAAGCCCAGGAGGTCATGGCTGCAGCGAGCCCTGATGATGCCACCGCACTCCAGCCTGGGCTACAGAGTGAGACTGTCTCAAAAAAATAATAATAATAAATAAAAATGGCTGACACATGGAAACTGCAAAGCATGTTCAAAATCTTTCTACTCATTTCCCATTGTACTCACAGAAAAATGTAAACTGCTAACAATGGCCTACTAGGTCTCATGCGATCTCCTAGCACCTCTCACCCCTCACTTCATTCCAGCCACACGCCAGCCTCCTTAGAATCTCTCAAGCACGCCTTTGCACCACGCCCAAAAATGTTTCTTCCCAATACCCCTATTTGTTCTCTGCTCAAACTTCAACTCCTCAGACAAACCTTCTCTGAATACTTTACTTAGAAAGACCTTACCACTGCCATTTGTATCCCCCTTCTCTATTTTATTCTCTTTTACAGCATTCTTTACCACCAGACATAAAACCTATGTCTTTCTCCACTGAAATGTACACTCCAAGAAGGCAGAGACTTCGTTTTGTTCACCAATGCATCATCAGCATATACACATGTGCCTGGCACACAGTAGGCAGCCAATAAATAAGGGAAGAAAGAATACTTGACACTGAGGCAGAGGTATAAAAAATTGTTGCCTCTTTCTCCCTGAACTCCTAGTAAGCACATTCTGAATTGAAGTCTTGAGCCTGAGCATCTCCATTCAAGGACCTGTCTGTCCTCAGCACCTGCGTGCCTAGCACCATGCAAAGTGCGGCAAGAGGAAATAAGCTTGCTCTGTGTCCATGAGTCCTCATCTACCTGAGGTATAAGAACTCATGCCCCTGCCCAGCCAAGCTGACCTGAGTGCATCAGTGAGAAGAGAGACCTCCAGGAGAGCTGCTGAGTCAACCTGCAATGCACCATTGGCCACTGCTATACCAGGCACTGCAGTTACTGCAGTGTGAGGAGCAGGGAGCAAAAGAGCACCATGATGAGATACAGAGAGTCAGCTTTATCTTCCTTCAGCAACACAGATGAAAGTGATTCTAATGGTTCTCCTAAATCTCAAATATGATTGACAAAATTTCTGATGTTTCCATTAAAATCTTCAACGACACAAGAACTCTACCACACCAAACTGCTTGGCATCTGGTAAAATCAGAGTATTTTGGCTGGGCATGGGGACTCATGCCTGTTATCCCAGCACTCTGGGAGGCTGAGGCAGGTGGACTGCCTGAGCTCAGGAGTTCGAGATCAGCCTCAGCAACAGAGCAAGATTCTGCCTCAAAAAAAAAAAAGGCTGGCACAGTGGCTCACCTGAGGTCAGGAGTTTGAGACCAGACTGACCAACATAGTGAAACCTCATCTGTACCAAAAATACAAAATTAACCGGAAATGCTGGTACATGCCTATAATCCCAGGTACTTGGGAGGCTGAGGCAGGAGAATCACTTGAACCCAAGAAGTGGAGGTTGCAGTGAGCCAAGGTCCAGCCTGGGCAAAAAGAGCAAAACTGTCTCAAACAAACAAATAAATCAAAATAAAAAATAAAGTATCATGCATACATAATTATTCTACTAAAGAACAACATTTTTTTTTCTTTTTTTTTTTTTTTTAACCAAGGGAGGTGGTGCTTCCTTTGGCAGCACATATACTAAAATTGGAACAATACAGAGAAGATTAGCATGGATCCTGCGCAAAGATGACATGCAAATTCGTGAAGAGTTCCATGTTTTTGAATAATAGCATCAAAAAAAAAAAAAGTCGGGGGAGAGGGGTAGGGAATGTTTCTGGAAACCAAATAAAATTCATGAATGCTAAGTATCCACAGTATAAAAGATGCTACAAAGCAATAATATACCGTTCCTTCTGATGGCTCTGGAGAGGTCATACAGTTACTATACGAAGTCTCTACAACTGCTTTCGAATGGCTCAGCAAAAATAAAATTCATTTATAAAGTGTAAAAGAAGGTAAATGTGGCAAAATGTTAACAATTTGTGGGTCTAAAAAAAATTCTTAGCCCATCAGCTTTAGCATCTAATGCCAAAATGCTGCTCTTAGGTCCTTCCACTGGTTGCAGTCAAGAGCATCTAGCCCTCCTCCCAAATTGGAAATCTAGACCAGAGGTCCCAGATGGAAACATGTGCCTTTAACATTTCCCCAGAGCACCCTGTGGCTGCCTTACCTTCATTGGCTCCTTTCCGAAGCTGCTTATAGTTACATGACTGCTGAACAAGGTCCAGTAGTTTCTTGGTGAGGTGGGCATCAGCAAGGGGATAGGCCTTCGGATTCACATCAGCCTCAGTCTAAGGAGGGGGAGATAAAAATATCAGTCAAATTGAACTGGAAGTTTTCCTACTAATACTAATCAACAATTGATCACAAAATACTAATCAACAATTGAGAAACAGGGAGCAGCTGCTCTGCTTCCTGATCCTCCAACACACAGAACACCATGTAGTTAACAATGAGCTTTCCAGTCCTACCTTCGGAAAAAATGAAATATATTATTAGAAACTATACAGTTCAATGAAGTATACTAAAGCTTATGTACTTTTGTCTCGTCAGATGAATGTTCGATAATATTACAGCAAATGGATTACAAATGGGCTCCCATGGCTCAGCATCCATTTGAGTCCATGGGTAATCTGTACTTTGTTTTTTTTTTTTTAGATGGGGTCTCACTCTGTTGCCTGGGCTGGAGTGTAGCGGCTGATCTCAGCTCACTGCAACCTCTGCCTGCCACGTTCAAATGATTCTTATGCCTCAGCATCCCAAATAGATAGGACTACAGGTGTGTGCCACCACACCTGCCTAATTTTTGTATTTTTTTTTTTTTTTTGTAGAGATGGGGTTTCACCATGTTGGAAAGTTTGGTCTTGAACTCCTAGCTCACATCTGTAATCACAGCACTTTGGGAGGCTGAGTGCAGGTGGATCATGTGAGGTCAGGAGACCATTGGTAATCTTTAAATTTGAACTTCTGTATTCCACCTCAATTTACGGAATCAAAACTAAGATATAATTTACAGTAAATGTAGCACAAAATTCTTTTAATTCCCCATTCCACATACAAATATTCTGTTCAAACCCCTGATTTCCAACAGACCAAAGTATTTCCTCACCTACTCTGCAACACACAAAAAATGGTTCCAAAATTGCTACACCAATACACCACCTCTACCAACAAACTCACCAAGGTCAAAATTTATTTTTGTTCTTAGGATATATCCTACCAAAGCCATCCAGTGATAGTACTATGCTAAAAAATTATTCAAATTAAAATTTTCCTTGGGGTTAGCAATTTGATATACAATTAAGACTTGTTTGTAGTCAGCTTGCTTTAAATTTTATTTTTCAAATATGTAAAATATCTTCATGGTTTAAATGTCAAAACTATGCTACTGATAGCAACTCAGTGTTGTGAAAACCAGGAAAGGGAAACAATCATCTTCTGTGCCTTTCCTAAACACCGTATTAGGAGGTAACCAAATAGAAGATGAAAAATACCTCTTGCATCACTATTCCACCTAATAAATAAAGAGGAAATGGTACACTTAAATATCACCAACTTGCAACCCTTATTAACTAATTAATGGCACTTGCAGTTAAGTTAAAAATCCTTACTTTACAGATACATACTGTAATACTTATGGATAAAATGGCGTCACTGAGATGTGAGTCAAAATAACCCATGTAGGGGTCGGGAGTAGTGTCTCACGCCTGTAGTCCCAGCTACTTGGGAGGCTGAAGCAGAATAGCTTGAACCCAGGAGGTGGAGGATGCAGTGATCCGAGACTGCGCCACTGCACTACAGGCGCCAGAGCGAGGCTCCATCTCAAAAAAAAAATAAATAAATAAAAAATGACGCACGTAGGGAGCGAACTGGGTGAGCGGCCTGCCAGTTCCGCTCCTTCCATCTCATTCCCACCCCTCCAGTTAACCATTTTCATTAAATTTTTCTGTCTTTTTTTTTTTTTTTTTTTACAAGCACAGCACATATTTATACAAGGGTATACTCATATTAAAACCTGGGGGCAGCCCTCAATGTCGCCATTGAGTATTAATGTGCGAATCGCGAGTGATTCGCTGCGGCCGCAATCTAACCTCGGCCTTGGAGGCTGGACACAAGGTGGACGGCAGTCACTGGAGACGGTCGGGTGGGAACACTTATCTATTGCGCCTGCCTCGGTGGTCTCCTGCAGGACACCGCGCGCCTGCCTTTTCCTCCTTCAATTTTTTTTACAGCTTTTTTTGATATAGCTGGCTCACGGTACCGCGGTTCTGAGAACGTGACCCGTGGGTAGTGGCCCAGTAGGAACACTCACCATAGCGTCTGTCTTGGTAGTCTCTCCCCGGACACCGCAAGGACACCACGCGTGTTAGTCTGGGGTGGTCTGCTACCCTCCACCGCAAGGACACGGATGCCCCGCCCCAGGAGCAGGAAGTGACGCCAGTGCCACCAGCGGAAGTGACGTCCAGGGCCAGACAGTACACCAAGACGCCCTGTCTCCCACCTAACTCGTTATCTTAGGCAAACCTGTCTTGGTCCCGAGATGACTGGGAGGAATTAGGTGAAGGATGGAGTTGTTCTCTAAAGCGCAGGTTGGGGGAAGTCGAGGGAATACCTCTGTAATATTTTTCTCTTCCCCAAACATTCACTGATTGATTGACGGAGCCTCCCTCTATTGCCCATGTTGGTGTGCAGCGGCATGACCTCGGCTCACTGCAACCTCCACCTCCCGGGTTCAAGTGATTCTCTCGCCTCACTGCCTCCTGGGTACCTGGGATTATAGGTGCCCGCGACCACGCCCAGTTAATTTTTGTATTTTTAGTAGAGACAGTGTTTCACCACGTTGGTTAAGCTGGTTTTGAACCCCAGACCTCAGGTAATCCGCCCACCTCAGGCTCCCAAAAGTGCAGGGATTACGGGCATAAACCACCGTGTCCGGCCTATCCTTTATTCGTAATGTCTATAGAGTATGTCACCTTCATGTGTTACTTCAACTTTCTTTTTTTTTTTTTTGAGACAGGGTCTCGCTCTGTCACCCAGGCTAGAGTACAGTGGTGCGATCTCTGCTCACTGCAACCTGCTCTCAAGTCCAAGCAATTCTCTGGCCTCAGCCTCCGAGTAGCCGGTACTACATGCACGCACAACCATGCCCGGCTTTTTTTTTTTTTGAGACGGAGTTTCGCTCTTGTTGCTGAGACTGGAGTGCAATGGCGCATTCTCCGCTCACCGCAACCTCCACCTCCTGGGTTCAAGCTATTCTCCTGTCTCAGCCTCCCAAATAGCTGGGATTACAGGCATGTGCCACCACGTCTGGCTAATTTTTTGTATTTTTAGTAGAGATGGGGTTTCACCATGTTGGCCAGGATGGTCTCCCAACTCCTGACCTCAAGTAGATCCCCTTGCCTAGGCCTTCCAAACTGTTGGGATTACAGGCGTAAACCACCATGCCTGGCTGTCTCTCTCTCTTTTTTTTTTCGATTAATCATTCTGTAGGGGACCTTTCAAAGAATCATCTTCTGATTTTGTCTATCCTATAGTAGTATGATCTACTTTCTTTTGTTTCTTTCTTTTTTTTTTTTAAAGACAGAGTCTCACTCTGTTGCCAAGGCTGGAGTGCAGTGGCACGATTACAGCACACTGCAGCCTCCAACTCCTGGGCTCAAGTGGTCCTCCTGCCTCAGACTCCCAAGTAGTTGGGGACTACAGGCATCACCATCACACCTGGCTAAGTTTTTAATTTTAGAGGGACTGTCTCATTATGTTTCCCAGGCTAGTCTTGAATTCCTGGCCTCAAGCAATCTTCCTGTCTTGGCCTCCCAAAGTACCGGAATTACAGGCGTACAGGGGTGAGCTACTGTGCCCAGCCCATTTATATATTTTTAATCTTTCACTATTTTGTTTAACCTCATATCTATACCTAATGTGTTATCTCATATCTATATTATGTTTCATTCAGTATCTGTAAGATAAACTTCTAGAAGTGGAATTAGTGAGTCAAAAGATATAATATGTATTTGTAACTTTCGTATCTTTCCAAATTGACCCTATACAGTGTTTAACAACTTGAACACTGCCAGCAATGCATGACAGTGAGTAATTCCCCAAAACTTTGAAAACTGTGTCAAACTGAAGCAGCTTCGTTGCCTGGGGTAAATATCTGCGTTTCATTGTCTTGTGTCCAGAAAATTTAGGACACAGACACACAGGAGGAGTTTAGGAGCAGTGGTTTTTTTTGTTTTGTTTTGTTTTGATCTCAGCTCACTGCAACCTCTGCCTCCTGGGTTCAAGCAATTTTCCTACCTCGGTCCCCACCAGTAGTTGGGATTGTAGGCACGCGCCACTATGCCAGGCTGATTTTTGTACTTTTAGTAGACACTGGGTTTCACCATGTTGACCAGGATGGTCTCGAACTCCAGACCTCAGGTGATCTACCCACCTCGGCTTCCCAAAGTGCTGGGATTACAGGTGTGAGCAACTATGCCCAGCCCTTCCTTCTACTCTCATTGGGGTTATTGTGTCCTTGTGTTTTCCCCTACTGTTTAGCTCCTTTCTCCCTAGCATAAGCATCTTAGGCTCTAAGCAATACTTTCATTATATCCTTTCATTTGTTTCTTCTTCCCTCTGCCCTCATCACTTATGCTCTGGTATGTGGTATTTTCATTATTGTTTGGTTCTATTTTTGAATTTCTACTACAATTTATAAATCTCTCTGATAATTTATATTTTTCATTTCAAAGTACTTTGTTACTAATTTTTAACTTATTTGCATTTTGGCTGGGCAAAAATGGTATAGTATTATTACCAATGTTAACATTTATAGGGCTTGCTTTATGGCCAAGTTTCAAAAACGTTCCATGTTTGAAAAGTGTATTCTGAACTGGCTGCAGTAGCTCAGGCTCACAATCCCACCAACTTGGGAAACTGAGGCTGGGGACTGATTGAGGCCAGAAGTTTGAGACCAGCCTTGGCAACACAGTAAGACCCCCATCTCTAAAAATATTTAAAAACTTAGCTGGGGTAGTCCATGTGCAGTGGTTCACGCCTGTAATCTGAGCACCTTGGGAGGCTGAGGCAGGTGGATCTCTTCAGGTCAGGAATTCAAGCCTGGCTAACATGGTGAAACTCTGTCTCTACTAAAAATACAAAAATTAGCTGGGTGTGGTGGCACATGCCTATAATTCCAGCTACCTGGAGGTTGAGGCAGGAGAATCACTTGAACCAGGAAGTGGAAATTGCTGTGGGCCGAGATTGCACCACTTTACTTCAGCCTGGGTGAAAGAGCAAAACTCTGTCTTAAAAAAAAAAAAAAAATTTCATACTGTCTTTTTGTTGTTGTTGAGACAGGGTCTCACTCTGTCACTGAGGCTGGAGTGCAGTGGCATGACCACAGGTTACTGCAGCCTCAACCTCCAGGGCTCAAGTGATCCTCCCACCTCAGCCTCCCCAGTAACTGGGACTACAAGTATGGGCCATCACACCTGGCTAAGTAAAAAAAAAAATTTTTTTTGGCTGGGCATGATGGCTGACGCCTGTAATCCCAGCACTTTGGGAGGCCAAGGCAGGAGAATCACTTGAACCCAGGAGGCAGAGGTTTAAAAAAAAAATTGTAGAGATGGGGTCTCACTATGTTGCCCCGAGTGGTCTCCAACTCCTGAGCTCAAGCAATTCTCTCACCTCAGCCTCCCAAAGTACTGGGATTACAGGCTTGAGCCACAGTGCCTAGCTTCATCCTATCTTTTAACTGCAGCACTCAGTCCCTTTGTATATTTAAGTATTGGTATATTGGTTTCAAATTTTTCTCCTCCTTTTGTACTTTCTATTTGTTCCACCTGTTCTGATCTTTTCTTTCTTTCCTTCCTCTGGATCTATCACTGCATTTGCACTGTTTTCCCCTTTACTGATCTGGAGTTTATTTTTAAATTTTTTTAATTAAAAAAAAATTTTTTTTTTTGAGATGGAGGCTCCCTCTGTCACCCAGGCTGGAGTACAGTAGTGCAATCTCAGCTTACTGCAACCTCTGTCTCCCTGGTTCAAGCAATTCTCCTGCCTCAGCCTTCTGAGTAACTGAGACTACAGGCATGCACCACCACACTTAGCTAATTTTTGTATTTTTAGTAGAGACGGGGGTTTCACCATGTTGGCAAGGTTGGTCTCAAACTCCTGAGTGATTCACCCACCTCAGCCTCCTTAAGTGCTGGGATTACAGGCATGAACTACCACAACTGGCCATGCGAATATGTTTTATTTGATACTACAGTAGGGAAATTTTAGTTAATAATTTGTCACGTTTTATTTTTATGTATTTTTTTTTTTTTTGAGATGGAGTCTTGCACTGTCACCCAGGCTGGAGTAAAGTGGTGGGATCTCAGCTCATTGCAAGCTCCACCTCCCAGGATAAAGCAATTCTCCTTGCCTCAGCCTCTCAAGTAGCTGCACACCACCATGCCTGGCTAGTTTTTTTTTTTTTTTTGTATTTTTAGTAGTGACGAGTTTGACTATGTTGACCAGGCTGGTCTGGAACTCCTGACCTCGTGATCTGCCCACCTCAGCCTCCCAAAGTGCTGGGATTACATGCGTGAGTCACCATGCCCAGCCCTATGGCATGCTTTAAAATAGAGATATTTAAAAATATTACACATACCCCCAAAGTATGTATAATTACGATATGTCAATTTAAAAACTTTAAAAATTGCCCTTTTCAACAACCCATTCTCTGGAAATCAAAATGCTCAACTCCCAATAAACATTAAATTCATAAAAGAGGAAGACTTCAGGAATCTGAACAACCATCCAAGACCTAATTGTTTCACTATTAATGAACAAAAAGTTAAACTCAATTTTAAAACCAAACTACCTAGCTTATAAACACTAATAGAAACTTGTTTAGGGTATATTTATTCACCTTTCAATTTCTTCATGGGTTAAAAAAAATGAATGAATGATACCATACCTCCAGACAACCTAAATTCCTACCTAGAATGATCAGTTTGGTTTCCCGTTACACCAGACAGTCCAAACCTGCACGGTTTTGACTGAATAACAAATACTGCATGCTCACTCCATACCAGGCATGAGGACTAGATAACGTGCTTTATTTCATTTGCTCATCACAACGTCCTCATGCCTTGTCATCCCTATTTTACTGTGGAGGAAAACTGCAAAGTTCAACATGAGACCATCCGATTCGAAAACGTTTCACGAAACTACGTTAAGAAGAGCAGAGTTTGGAAGCTTCAAGTTCTAGGCTCAGCCACATACTAAGCTTTAAAATTAGCATGGGAGGAAGTGTTGCGGTAGTGCTACCGCAGGGATCCAAACCCTGCTGGAAGGATGAACTACAGAAGTTACAGGGCTTTGCAAACTCTTCCCTCCTAAATGCCAACCAAAGCTAGCTACGCCAGGACACATGTTTTACAACTCTCCCTAGAAGGTTTTTTTTTTTTTTTTGAGACGGAGTTTCGCTCTTGTTACCTAGGCTGGAGTGCAATGGCGCGATCTCAGCTCACCACAACCTCCGCCTCCTGGGTTCAGGCAATTCTCCTGCCTCACCCTCCTGAGTAACTGGGATTACAGGCACGCGCCACCATGCCCAGCTAATTTTTTGTATTTTTAGTAGAGATGGGGTTTTACCATGTTGACCAGGATGGTCTCGATCTCTTGACCTCGTGATCCACCCGCCTTGGCCTCCCAAAGTGCTGGGATTACAGGCGTGAGCCACGGCGCCCGGCCTCTCCCTAGAAGTTTAAAAGTCGGAGATCACCAAGAGTTTAGAGAATCCGCAGGTGGTGCTATCAGGACTTCTGGCTTTGGAAGCCACCGCCTTGCAGAAGTCTTTCCTGCGCTCCAGGCCGTGGTTCGGGCTCACTTCATGTTCCCCACAGCTCCCCAGTGCCAAAATCTCTTAAGTTCCTGGCACGTGTAAAACTCGCGGCGGGAACTAGGCGCAGAACCACAGGAGATCTGCTTCTCCTGAACTCCAGCAACAGAGGTGGGATGAGGTAGGGTGGGTAGGAGTGGTTGATCCGAATCCCAGGGTTCCGCCCCCATGGCAGATTTCGTACTTAAAGAAAAAAGGGGAGGGAAGATGGAGCCAAGATTTTTTTCGCCCAACTTTTTGCCCTCTCCCACGTGAGTTGGTCTCTTTCTCCCTGGCTGGGTCATGTCCCCTCTGCGAGCCGCAAGCCTTCGGCCACAAAGACCGTGCGGCAAACCATCTCCGGCCACAGCAGCGGGGATCCTTGTTTCCTGAGTTCCAGCCTCAGGCCAGACTGTTCGGACCCCGCGGCTGCTGGAGTTCTAATTTAGGGCCGGGCGGTCAAGACCCAACGTCGGCGGAGGAGACGGCGTAGGGTCTAAGCTTCCATCTAACAGGTTAGGGAGTGGACGCAACCCAGAGTTTCCCGCTTCCTGGTCCCTTCGGCCGGCCTACGCACTCACCATGGCAGCGATTCCGCGGGCTCAGCACGCCAATGGGAGCGCAGTCGATGTCTGAGAAGCGCTCGCCTCCACCGGAACTCACAGAAGAAGAAGCGGAAACGGTCCCGCGCGGCAGGAAGCTAAGGTGACGCTACTCGAACGAGCGGGCCCCGCCCTCTACGGGAGCATTGGCGCGGTAACCGACTCAGTGTTGGTGAAGGAACGTACTTTGGCGTTCTTATGAGCTGTGTAGTACAGATTATTGTCAGAAACAATGAGTTAAAAATTCAGAAGTAACCCACTGGCCGGTCTCAGTGGCTCACGCCTGTAATCCCAGCACTTACGGGAGGTCGAGGTGGGCGAATCACGTGAGGTCAGGAGTTCCATACCAACCTGGCCAAAATGGCGAAACCCCATTTCCACTAAAAATACAAAAATTAGCCGGGCATAGTGGTGCATGCCTGTAGTCTGAGCTACGTGGGAGGCTGAGGCAGGAGAATCGCTTGAACCCAGGAGGCAGAGGCTGCAGTGAGCTGAGATCTCGTCACAGCACTCCAGTCTGGGCGACAGATTCAGACTCCGTTTCAGAAAAACAAAACAAAACAAAACAAAACAAACAAAAGCAACTAGAGAAATAGAGCAATACTTACCAACTGGTTGAAATATCTGATGCCCCTTTCCTGTGACCCCAAAGATCACTTAAAATCCGGCCACTAGGCCGGGTGCGGAGGCTCAGGCCTGTAATCCCAGCACTTGGAGAGGCTGAGGTGGGTGGATTAATTGAGGTCGGGAGTTCCAGGCCAGCCTGACCAACATGAAGAAACCCGTCTCAACTAAAAATACAAAAAAATATTTGGGCGTGGTGGTGGGCGCCTGTAATCCCAACTACTTGGGAGGCTGAGGCAGGCCAATCTCTTGAACCCAGCATTTCGCCATTGCACTCCAGCATGAGCAATAAGAGCAAAACTAAAAAAAAAAAAAAAAAAAAAAAAAAAATCAAGCCACTAAACAGCGAAGGCCTGGCTCATTCAGATCGACTGCTATCCCTGCCTGCTCAGATATTTAATATTTTGAATAAGAACCTTTGGGTGGACACAGGTATTCAGTGTAAGAGCAGCTAAGTGATTGCCTGCCTCTAGTGGCCAGAGAGCAGTCCTAAAAGAAAAAAAAAAAAGAACCTTTGGGTGAAAGAGTCTTCAGGGTAGCATTTATTTTCCCACCAACACTGATCCTAAGTTGGGAAAAGTAATTTCCCCCAAAGGAAATCAGGATACTTCGAGCAACAAGGAAGGGATGCTAAGTGGTCAAACAAGAATACACGTATTCAGTACAGTGTTCATTAAATGTTTGATAATGAATGGAAGGATAGGCAGATCCAGGTATCTCATAGGAAGAAAGAAATCAAGCCGACTGCAGGTTATATCACTCCATCACACATTCAGGGAACTTAATCTCTTCACTCCAGAGATGAGGTTGTTTAAAATAAATTCTTCCTTTTTTTTTTTTTGAGACTGAGTCTCACTCTATTGCCCAGGCTGGAGTGCAATGGCATGATCTTGTCTCACTGCAACCTCTGCCTCCCAGGTTCAACTTATTCTCCTGCCTCAGCCTCCTGAGTAGTTGGGATTACAGGCTTGCACCAGCACACCCAGCTTTCTTCGTCCTGTTAATTAATTTTGAGCAATTCCCCAATACTGTCCTTACTTGCATCAAGAGCATGCTAGCTAGCCCTGGCACCAGGGTCAGAGTTGAGGCTGGGGCATCAGCCTCCTTTGTGAGGTGGCCTTAGTGACAGAAGGGCTATGAGGTGGCAGCTACCCTACTGTAGCTGGCTGCATCAGATGTGCCAGGCTTTCCCTCTAGCTCCCAATACCATCTTCCTGACCTAAACTTTGCCATGTTGTTGTCACTGCTGGGTGCCTGTGCTGTGGTGGGGCCATTCCATGGCCCTGAGTGGCAGCCAGTGCAGGGCCTGCTCTCCCAGGATCACAGCTGCAGGGACCATCAGTGCTGTGGCAACCTGCTTGTCGTCTGCCTCTTTCTGGTCTGGCAGGTCCGGCACTATTGGCACCAGGTCACCAGGACCCACTTCAGCACAAGGAATGTCATCAAGGTGAGTGGGTCTCATACACCTTCACCCTCCTTCCCTCAGCACCAAGATTGTCTCTGTCTCTTGTTACAAGGACCTTTTTCTATCCCTGGTGTACCAGAAATGAATCATAGGGGAACTCATACTGCTCAGGGAGAGCAGTGGCCAAGCCCCAAACCCAGGAGTCACCCTGATCTCCTCTCTTTCCCTCACTCCACACATTCAATCCATCTGCAAGTCCCAGGGGCTCTACTTGGAAATTGTATCTCAAATCTGATCACTTCTTCCAACCATACTGCAGCTTCCTGGGCAGAGACACCGTCATGTCTCACCTGGACCATAGCAACAGCCTTCTGCCCAGTTCTTACTGCTTCTCTTATCCAACCACAGCCCATCCTCCATATAGTCACCATAATGGCCTTTTTCTTTCTCTTTCCTTTTTTCTTTCTTTTTTGTTTTTTGAGATGGAGTCTCACTTTGTTGCCGAGGCTGGAGTGCAGTGGTATGATCTCAGCTTGCTACAAGCTCAGCCCCCCAGATTCAGGCAATTTTCCTGCCTCCTGAGAAGCTAGGATTACAGGCACCCACCACCAAGCCTGGCTAATTTATTTTTATTTTTAGTAGTGATGGGGTTTCACTATGTTGGCCAGGCTGGTCTTGAACTCCTGACCTCATTATCTGCCTGCCTCGGCCTCCCAAAGTGCTGGGATTACAGGTATGAGCCACTGTGCCCTGTCAACTCTGCAGAGTTCCTTCTTTTCTTTTCTTTTTTTTGAGACAAAGCCTCGCTCTGCGGCCCAGGTTAAAGTGCAGTGACACAATCTCAGCTCATAGCAACTTCTGCTTCCCGGGTTCAAGCAATTCTCCTGCCTCAGCCTTCCTAGTAGCTGGGATTACAGGCATGCACCATCACACACAGATAATTTTTGTATTTTTAGTAGACACAGGATTTCACCATGTTGGCCAGGCTGGTCTCAAACTCCTGACCTCACGTGATCCACCCACATTGGCCTCCCAATGTGCCAGGATTACAGGGGTGAGTCACCATGCCTAGCGGACTCTGTGGATTTCTTTCTTCTTTTTTTTTTTTTAGATGGAATTTCACTCTGTCGCCCAGGCTGGAATGCAGTGCCATGATCTTGGCTCACTGCAATCTCCACCTCCCAGGTTCAAGTGATTCTCCTGCCTCAGCCTCCTGAGTAGCTGGGATTACAGGCATGTGCCATGATACCCAGCTAATTTTTGTACTTTTAGTAGAGATGGGGTTTTGTCATTTTGGCCAGGCTGGTCTCAAACTCCTGACCTCAAGTGATCGGCCCATCTTGACCTCCCAAAATGCTGGGATCACAGATATGAGCCACCATGCCTGGCCATTAGAACAAACTTTTAGAAACACATCATAGCACTTAGGTGCTCAAAACTCTGCAATGGCTCTTACACTTAGATTATCTGTCAAACTCATAATAAAATTCACACTCCTAATCACAACTGTAAGGACCAGCATAATCTGTCCTGTGTTTGTCTCCAATCTCATCTCCCAGTGATCTCCTCATTACTGGTTTAATTCTGGCTACATGGTCTTCTTTGCTGTTCCTGTACATGTGACCTTGTTTGATCCTCAAGCCTTTGTACTTTAATGTCTCCTCTGCCTATAACGCTCTTTCTTCAGATGTCACTTGCTTTGCTCCTTACTTCATTCAGGTCTCCAAATGTCACTTCCTCCAAGAAGACTTCCCTGACTATTCTGTCTGTATGGATTACACAAGATAATATGTGTGCAAGGATTTTGCTTCTCTGTTCTCACCTACAGGTGCCACTGCAGAAGCGGGCAGTGCCCTCCATGAAGTGCAAAACTGTCTTTGAGCTGACTCCTGAATTATTCTTCAGTCCTGGAAAGTTCAGGGACCTAGATTCTCATCAGTGGGCACAAAGGCAGAGATGGGGATACCGGAGGAGCATCCAGGAATCATGGACCCAGAACCTGTCTCTCCACAGCACCCAAGTCCAGGCCCTCCTTCAGGTGTTCACACCCACTCTGAGCCCATTTTTTGTACCACATCCATCTCAAGCACCTGTCTAATGCCTCAGGATAGTTGCTGGAAAGCATGGCAGATACCTTGGTGTCTCAGAGATGGTCAGACTCACCCTGCCTTGGACGTGTGCCACGAGATAGAGCAGCTGCTGCTTCACTCGGAGGAAAGGTTGGTGTCACTGGAGCCTGTCATCAGCATGAGGTCTCGCCCCACTTCCAAGACCTTAACCACCTCTCTTCCAAACTTACTGTCAGCCCAGAGGCTGCAGTTTTGCTCCAGAGAGCTGTTGCCTGATCATTCTTACCAAACACTGAGAATGTACACTTGGAAGTCCTGGGACTGCCCACCAGAGGCCTGGGAACCAGGGGGTAAAAAACAGAGAGCAAGCAGAGAGGATAGTAGAGAGACCCAGGCTCCAAGGGGGATGAACCAGAGAGGGAGCAGATGTGAAGATGCTTTGGAAATACAGGCCTCTGGGGAGCAGTTCCCAGTAGACTTTGGAATGGAGGGTGATGCAGAGACTAATGTGTTGGAGTGTGCAAACCAGAGACTAGTAATAAGTGAAGCTGATGGAGAGATCTTGACACCAGGGTGGGAGAACCAGGACCAGATGGGAGTTGAGAGTAGAACCGAAATTCAGGAACTAGGGACTAGAAACCAGAGGGAGGCTGGAGGTAAGAATCCCCCTGAAACCCAGGCACATATGGGAGAGAACCAAGAAGAGTTAAGATGTAAAATTGATGCAGAGACCCAAACACCTGAGTGGGAGAACCAGGATAAGAATGGAAGTGAGGATGCTGTGGGGACCCAGACGTTTGAGAGGAAGGACAAGAAAGAGGCTGGAGGGGAAGATGGGGAACAGATCCAGGCTCAAGAATTGGGGAAGCAGGGTCCCTAGAGATGAGAACGGTGAGAAGACCCAGATGTCAGAGTGGAAGAAACAAGAGCAGATGAAAGGTGATGCTGATGTGGAAATTCAGACAGAAGAGGGAAGAAACAAGGACCAGGTTGGAGGTCAGGATGATGCACAAACCCCGTCATCTGGCAGACAGAACCTGGGAGAAGTAAAAAAAGAGACCCAGGCCTTGAAATGTATTGGGAATATTACAGAGATCCAGACACCAGCGTGGGAGAAGCAGGATCAATGTGGAAGTGAGAAAGCTAGGAAGACCCAGGCATCTGGGGGAGAGAGCCAGAAACAATTAAGTCATGAAATTCAAGTGGGGTGGGGAAATAAGGGCCTGAGAAGAGGTGAAAATACTAAAGAAACCCAGATATCTAGCAGGAAGCAGCTCAGGGAGATAAGAGAGGACTGGGTGGTGATCCAGGCACCATGGTGGGGAAACTGGAGACAAGTAACAAGTGAAATTGACAGAGAACTTGATATACTATGTTGGGAGAATCAGCACTGGATTGGAGGTGAACATAGAGCAGAAATTCAGGCATCAGAGAAGAGAGACAAGAGAAAGGAAGGAGATGAGGATGGTACAAATATCCTGGCACCTGAGGCTGAGATCCACGAACAATTAAACGGTGAAACTGATGTGGAGACTCATTCAGCAGAGAGGAAGAAGAATAAGCCACTTAGAAAAGAGAATAGTACAGACATTGAGTCACTAGGGAGGAGAGAGGTTAAAGGTGAAGATGAAAAAGAGACCCAGGAACTTGGGGAAAAAAAATCAGTGTCAGTCAGGAAGTGAATTTAGTGGAAAGATTCACAGACCAAAGGGAAAGAATCAGGAACATATTAGAGGCAAGGACTATGGACATGCCCAGACATCTGAGTCAGTGAACTGGGGCAAATTAACAAGTCAAGTTAATGGAGAAACTCATTCAGAAGAATGGAAGAAAGATGAGCAGACTGTAGGTAAGAATGGGGCAGAAATTCAGATACAAGGGAAGAGAAACCTGACAGAAGTTGGAGGGAAGGATGGTGTAAAGACCTGGGCACCTGGGAAAGAAACCCAGAGTCTGTTTAGAAGTGATCTTGGTAGAAAGATCCTTTTATCAGAGTGGAAGAGCCAGAAGCAGATGGGAAGTGAGAATGGAACAGAAATTCAGGCTCCAGTGGAGAGAAACCAGAGAGAACCTGGAGGTGAGGACAGTGTAAAGATTCAGAGATCCGAGAGAGAACCAGGGCCAGTTTGATAGTGAAATTGGACACAGCCAATCACCAGGGAGGAGGAACTGGGAGCTGACTGGAAAGGATGTTACAGAAAATCAGGCGTCACAGAAGAGAAACCAGAGAAAGGCTGGAAATGAGGATGGTAGAACGATCTGGAGACTTAGGGGAAAAAACTGGAGGCTTATAGCAAAGAACCAGAGACTGTTAAAAAGTAAAGGTAATGGTGGGATCAGAGTGGAAGAATCAGGAACAGGGTGGAGGTGGGAATGATGAAGAAATTCAAATACAAGGGAGAAACCTGAGTGGGACCACAAGTGATGATGGCTCAGAGAGCCAGGCTCCTGCCGGAGATGACCAGGGACAATTAAGAGGTGAAATTTATGAAGAGATCCAGGTACAAAGGCAAGAAAATAAGAATGAGTGTGGAGCTGAGGATGTTGCAGAATTCCAGGATATAGGAAGCCAGAAAAAGTGCACAGATCGGGATGTTGGAGGGCCCCGAGCACCAAGGGAAGGAAACAAGGACCTGGTCAGAGGAGAAGTTGCTGTGAGGGACAGTCTCCAAGTTGACTGTTCTGGGGGTGAGAGACCCATAGGCAGGAAACACAATCTACCAAGGCCCCCGGCCTTCACTGGCTCTGGACATGGGACCATGGAACAGGAACAGGCAGTGGTTATGAATAGTTTGATCTCTGCTCCCTGTCCTGAGATGGATCCTCTCCCACACTGGGGTGAAGTCTTCTTGCTGGTGGGTGGGGAGGGAGAGCATGTGGCCAGCCAGGGCACAACCCCTGCCAGTGATCACAGAGTGGGGATCAGTCCAGCCTCCCAGCAGGCCCAATCTGAATCCTGCAGAAGACGACAAAGGGACAAAGGGGTAGATCAAGAGAAGGTCCCCAGCCTGACTCGGCAGCCCCGGAACCCTCCATCTCTGACTACTCCCTTGGGCATGCCCTCTGCCTGTCCCTGTGTGCTGTGTGGCCCAGACCTGGAAGCTGCCATAACTCTGGTGGGTGCTCCCACTGCCCTCACTGTCCTGCCCAAGGGGACAGTCCTCAAGAAGAGCAAACAACTGCTCCTGGAGTCCCTGATGCGGAGAAGGATTGCACACCTGAAGTGGGGTCTTCCCCGGTGGATCCTGGAGTCCTATTTCCCGTTTAACTTCTTAGGATCTTGCTCATTGCCCCTTGCTGGGGCAAGGCTCCCTGGACTGAACACGGGCCAGGAGCCCCAAGCACAGCAGGAAAGGTATTGTGAGGCCCAGGGCTCCCCACCATCCCTTAAGTCCTCAGAGAGGTTCCAGAGGGTTCAGCGCCCAGACAGAAAAAGCTCGAAACTTCCTACACAAGCCAGAGCTCTGGAGAGGAACAGACCATACAGGTCAGAGCTGATGGGCATTTCCATCCAGCCTGAAAAGGCCAGGAGAGTCAGGCCACCAGAGGGCACCAGAGAACCACAGGAGATCCAGAAAGCGCCTGACAGGACCCTCTGGCTCCCAGGACCCCCAGGCTGGCAGCGAGATCCAGGAGCTGGTGTGGCCAACAAAGGGTCGGAGAGTCTCCCAGTGAGAACAGCAGGGGTTGGAAAATGATCAGGCCAGGGGTCTCCAAGCTGGCAGAGAGGGCTCCCAGCAGAGTGAGGACCTTATCCTCCAGGCCAGACTACGCCCACTGAGGAAGGAGTGTACATCCTGGGAGGCCTCTAAGCCCCCCAGACTCAAATGCCAGCAACCCCCATACTGGAGAAGAGGAAGCCTGGAACCTACAGGGTGCAGAGGGGCTGGGCAGCAGCCTTCCTGCCATTCTGCAGAACCTGTCAGCTTCAAAGGGAGGCTCCACTCTGAGGGGACAAAGCTGAGCCTGACCCTTCTGAACAAGATGTCCTGGTCTCCACAGCTTGCCAAGTGCAAGCACTCAGCCCCTAACCTGATCCTGAGGGAACCTGATTATACTCTGCTTCCCAAAGTGGGTAATCCATGTGCAGAGGAGGACAGGATTGGAGACCAAACTGCTTCACAGAGGGATCTTCAGCCACGAAGTCACTGCTGTACTGGAGCCACCCTTCCTAAGACAGAGAGATCACAACCCAAATGGGGCTCCACAGAATACACCAGGCTCCAAAAAGTTTGATTTTATGAAGCATCTGAGATTTTTTCTCTTTCAGCATGGCTTTAAAAAGTAGACTCAGGCCCAGAGTCCTCAGGACATGTTAGAAAAGGTTTGAGACTGTCCTGATCTCCACAAAGCCTCTAATAAATTGGTCATTTGGGCCCTGTGGGGTTCTGATTTCTATGGCACATGTTTTCTAAGCACTCCCTTTTGGGGTTTGGGATACTTTGTGGGTGCGGTAGAAGCCAATTCCACTCTGTGGTTGTGAAGATTTAGGGAATGTGGGTGACCCCAGGGTTCTCTCCAAAAAATGTCCCCTCCAGCCTCCTCACAGTAGAGTCCACTGAGGTTCTTTCCTGCCCTGTCCCCAAGCTAATCCTGATTAAGGCAGGCTACTCCAACAGCCTTGGCTGCTTATGGGGAGGGGTGGTGCTCTACATGGGACACTAATTTTGAGACGGACTGTCACTCTGTGGTCCAGGCTGGAGTGCAGTGGCTTGAGCTTGGCTCACTGCAACCTTTGCTTCATGAGTTTAAGTGATTCTCCTGCCTCAGGCTCCTGAGTAGCTGGGATTACAGGCAGGAGCCACAAAAATTACAAGCATGCCTGGCAAATTTTTTTATTTTTACTAGAAGCGGGGTTTTGCCATGTTGCCCAGGCTGGTCTCAAACTTCTTTCTCTCTCTCTCTCTTTTTTAACTTTTATTTTTATTTTTTGGTCTCAAACTCTTTATTTTTTTTGAGATGGAGTCTTGCTCTGTTGCCCAGGCTAGAATGCAGTGGTGTGAGCTCAGCTCACTGCAACCTACACCTCCTGGGTTCAAGAGATTCTCCTGCCCCAGACTCCCGAGTAGCTGGAATTACAGGCACCTGCCACCACGCCTGGCTAATTTTTGTATTTTTAGTAGAGATTGGGTTTTGCCATGTTGACCAGGCTGGTCTTGAATTACTGACCTCAGGTGATCCACCTGCCTCGGCCTCCCAAAGTGTTGTGATTAAAGGCACGAGCCACCACATCGGGCCTATTTTTGTATTTTTTTGTAAAGGCAGCTACAAAAAGTACAGGTCGATGAGACATCCCAAGATGGGTCTCGCCATCTTGCCCAGGCTGGTCTTGAACTCCTGGGCTCAAGCAATCTGCCCACCTCAGCCTCCCAAAATGCTGGAATTACTGGAGTGAGCCACCACACCTGGCTGAAAGGATACTATTAAAGCAGCTGTCCCCAGCCTTTTTGGCACTAGTGACTGGTTTCGTGGAAGGCATTTTTCCTAGGGACTGGGGGTGGGGGTGAAGGTTGGAGCTCAAACTGTTCCACCTCAGATCATCAGGCATTAGTTGAGATTCTCAGGTCGGTCATGGTGGGTCACGCCTGTAATCCCAGCACTTTGAGGGCCGAGGCGGGCAAATCACTAGGTCAGGAGTTAGAGCCATATGGTGAAACCTGCCTCTACTAAAAACACAAAAATTAGCTGGGCGTGGTGGTGCGTGCCTTTAGTCCCAGCTCCTCAGGAGGCTGAGGCAGAAAAATCGCTTGAACCTGGGAGGTGGAGGTGGCAGTGAGCCGAGATTGTGCCACTGCACTCCAGCCTGGGCGACAGAGCGAGACTCTGAAAAAAAATTACTTTTCAACTTTGGGTGTGGTGAAGACATTCCTGCAGGGTTCTAAGCGCAAACTGCTTTTGGCTTAGTTAGACACGATTCAGAGCCCTTGCGCCCGCCACTCACCCTCAGGTGCAGCTGCTCGCCTGAGACTGCGGCTTCCAGGGTCCGCGCAGGCGCATTCTACAACGACGCAGGCGTGTCCTCTAACTGCGCATGCGTGCAGGCTGCGCGGGAAAACGTTCTGCCTCAGCGGGAGACAAACGAGGAGATGGCTGTGAGGCAGGCGGCGACGGCGGGCACTCCCGAGCCCAGAAGGGACGAAGAGGCGGCTCTGCTCTTCGAGAGGACCCATTACCGGCACGACTCGCGCTGGCTGCTGCCTGTGCCCCCCCGCCTGTGCCTGGCCTGCACGCTGGAGCTGCTGCCCGAGCCCGGCGTGTCGGTGCGGGTGGAACTCTTTCTTTGGAAGACCTGGGTTTGGGCATTACCCTCAGCAAACGCGGCCGGTCCCTCGCCAGACCCGCTCCGGTGAACCCGACGCGAAACCGGGCCCCCGCGCGGTGTGCACGCTCCTCCCTGTCAGCCCGCCCCGCACCCGGTCACAGCGGCTTCGCGGTCCCCTCGGCCCCAGGCTGGCCTGTTGGCCTCCTGGCTGTGCGCCGGGAAGGGCGGAAATCCGGATCCCTCGGGACCTCACCCAGTCTCAGGGACACACCTTCCCGCTTTCCGCCCTCTGGCCCCTTCATTTGCTGGCCCTGCCTCCATTTCCCCAGGATTCAGCCTTAGCTCAGGCTCCCGCCATTTCTGTCCCCACTCACCTGCGGGCCAGGCGCACAGGCGGTGGCCGTTCCTCATTCCCTTCAGCTGTCCACGTGTGAATCTGAGGAGAGGCTGCCTGGGATCGGGGGGACAGGAGTGACAGGTTACAGCTGGGCGGAAGTGGGGTGAAAGGGAAGACCTTTCCCCTGGCAGAGTTGGCTGGGCTGCCTGGGCCTTCAGTGCCTACTTGCGTTTGTAATGAGGTGGTTTTTTTTTTTTTTTTTTTTTTTTTTTGAGATGACTGTTGCCCAGGCTGGAGTGCAGTGGCGCAGTCTCGGCTCACTGCAACCTCGTCTCCCGTGTTCAAGCGATTCTCCTGCCTCAGCCTCCCAAGTAGCTGGGACTATAGGCGCCTGCCACCATGCCCGGCTAATTTTTTTTTTTTTTTTTTTGAGACAGAGTCTCGCTGTGTCGCCAGGCGCCAGGCTGGAGTGCAGTGGCGCGATCTCGGCTCACTGCAACCTCCGCCTCCAAGGTTCAAGCAATGCTCCCGCCTCAGCCTCCCGAGTAGCTGGGATTACAGGTGCACGCCACCATGCCCAGCTAATTTTTGTATTTTTAGTAGAGACAGGGTTTCACCTTGTTGGCCAGGATGGTCTGGTTCTCTTGACGTCATGATCCGCTCACCTCGGCCTCCCAAAGTGCTGGGATTACAGGCGTGAGCCACCGCGCCCGGCCTAATTTTTGTGTTTTTAGTAGAGACCGGCTTTCACCATATTGGCCAGGCTCGAACTGCTGACCTCGTGATCTACCTGCCTTGGCTTCCCAAAGTGCTGGAGTTACAGGTGTGAGCCATGGCAGTGACTTTTGTTGTCCATGGAGGCATCCAAGTCAAGTTTCTCTCAAATTCATGGGAGGGGAATTCGTGATTGGGGGTTTGGCTAGATCAGCAGTTCCTTTTTTTATTTTTGGAGAGAGAGTCTCCAGGGTGTCAACCTACATTGCCTTGGCGGTCTTGAACTCCTATTCCAAGGCGATTTCCCCACCTTGGTCCCCCAAAGTGCCAGTATGACAGGTATGAGCCACTGAGCCTGGCTGCATTCTCAAATATTTTGATATTTTCATCTCAGGATCCCGTCATACAAAGTTTGAAAGTCTGCCTGATCCCAAAATCATGATAGATTTCCTGATGACAACAGAAGGAGCAAATATAAACTTTAGAACATTTATTTTTTATTCCTATTTTCAGGAATTAACCCACACCAGCCTCACAATGTCCCTAGAGAGATATATACCATTGTCCCATTTTATAAATGGAAAGACACTGCAGATTTTTTTTTTTTTTTTTTTTTTTTTTGAGACAGAGTATTGCTCTTGTTACCCAGTGCAATGGCGCGATCTCGGCTCACCGCAGCCTCCGCCTCCTGGGTTCAGGCAATTCTCCTGCCTCAGCCTCCCGAGTAGCTGGGATTTCAGGCACACGCCACCATGTCCACCTAATTTTTTGTATCTTTAGTAGAGACGGGGTTTCACCATTTTGACCAGGATGGTCTCGATCTCTTGACCTCGTGATCCACCCGCCTCGGCCTCCCAAAGTGCTGGGATTACAGGCACGAGCCACTGCGCCTGGCCGACACTGCAGATTTTTAAGCAGGAGAGGAACCTTCATACAAAGTTGTTGACCCCAAGTAGCTTTTGTTTATGTGGGTTACATCCACTGATTTATTTATTTTTTTAAGACGGAGTCTTGCTCTGTAGCCCAGGCTGGAATGCAATGGTGTGATCTTAGCTCACTGCAACCTCTGCCTCCTGGGTCCTGTTTCAAGCAATTTTCCTGCCTCAGCCTCCTGAGTAGCTGTGATTACAGGCATGTGCCATCATGCCCAGCTAATTTTTGTATTTTTAGTAGAGATAGGGTTTCACCATGTTAGCCAGGCTGGTCTTGAACTCCAGACCATGTGATCCAACCTCCTCAGCCTCCCAAAGTGCTGGGATTACAGGCATGAGCCACCGCTCCCAGGTATATTAACAAATTTTGTGGGTTTTTTTGAGACAGGTCTCACCCTGTTGCCCAGGCTGGAGTGCAGTGGCACGATCGTAGCTCACTGCAGCCTTGACCTCCTGTGCTCAAGTGATCCTCCTACCTCATCCTCATAAGTAGCTGAGGCTACAGGTGTGCAACACCATGCCCAGTGAATTTTTTATTATTTATTGTTACAGGGTCTCACTATGTTGCCCAGGCTGGTCTCAAACTCCTGCATTCAAGCTGTGGTCTTCTCGCCTCAGCCTCCCATTGTGCTGGAATACAGGCATAAGCCATTGTGCCTGGCCCATAAGTAATTTTTTATTGTGGCAAAATACAGATAATATACAGTTTACCATTTTTAGATTTTTTTTTTTTTTTGAGACACAGTCTTGCTCTGTCGCCCAGGCTGAAGTGCAGTGGTGTGATCTCAGCTCACTGCAAACTCTACCTCCTGGGTTCAAATGATTCTCCTGCCTCAGCCTCCTGACTAGCTGGAATTACAGGCACGTGCCAACACACCCAGCAAATTTAGTAGAGATGGGAGTTTCACCATGTTGGTGACGCTGATCTGGATACTCCTGAGCTTGTGATTCACCTGCCTTGGCTTCCCAAAGTGTTGAGAATACAGGCATGAGCCACTGCACCCAGCCATTTTTAGATCTTTTTAAGTGTTCAGTCTTGTGGCATAAGTAATTTTAAAAAATAGAAATAACTGTATTTTCTCAAGAAAGATAGTGACGGGGTGGTTTTATTTTATATTTTTGCAAGTTGCTTTAATTGAAGGCAGCTTGGCCAGGCGCAGTGGCTCATGCCTGTAATCTCACTGCTTTGGGAGGTAGAGGCTGAAGGATTACTGGAACCCAGGAGTTCAAGGCTGCAGTGACCTATGATCAAGTCACTGCACTCCATCTTGGGCAACAGAGCGAGACCCTGTCTCTCCTAAACAAAAACAGCTGGATTTTTATCTATTTCTACAGTCTGTTGTGATATAATGTCATGTAGTATCAAAAACTCCACTGTACAATTGTGGGAGAATAAGAATAAGAAAGACTGTCAGGGCACGGTGGCTCATGCTTGTAATCAGAGCACTTTGGGAGGCTGAGACAGTTGGATCACCTGAGATTGGGAGTTCAAGACCAGCCTGACCAACATGGAGAAACCCTGTTTCTACTAATTTTGTAAAGACTCTACTAAACCCTGTCTTTACTAATTTTGTAAAAATACAAAATTAGCGGGTGTGGTGGCAAATTCCTATACTCCCAGCTACTTGGGAGGCTGAGGCAGGAGAATCACTTGAAACCCGGAGGCATAGGTTAGGGCGAGCCAAGATCACACCATTGGACTCCAGCCTGGGTAACGAGCGAAACTTCATCTCAAACACAAACAAACAAAAAAGACCAAGACCAAGAACATTGTAATATTATATGAAACTATTTTTGTTCTTGTGGACAAGAAGTTCTGAGGTTGCTATTCTTGGACAGTAAATCAGAGATTAATAAGACAGTGCAGCAGGAGAGAAAATAAGAGAACATGTTATTTAGAACTTAGAAGAATGAACATGTTTGTGGTCAAGTGCTGTTCAGGGTAAGGAGAGGAATTAGGAAAGGTTTCTTAGAGGAGGAAGCATTCAAATTAGGGTTAAGAAGATAGGTGAGATTTGGACCAGAGGAAGTGGGAGGCTGATTATCCCAGGAGGTAGGTGTTAGAAGGATGGGTTTTGGAGATAATCTTGGTGTTTGAAGCGAAATTAAGAGATGAGATTGGAGAGGCAGGTAGGTTGAGGACAGTACTTTGAAGAGTTTTAAACCAAGCTAAGGAGCTTGAACTTAATCTGTCAGATGAAGGGGAGTTACTGGGATTTTTGAGTAGCTCATGTAGATCACTACTTTAATCTAAGGAAAAACAGGAGACTTACAGTAGCACAGAAGAGAAGCAATAAGAGATGTAATTTCTGCCTTTTATTGAAGAAACTTTTTTTTTTTTGAGACGGAGTTTCGCTCTTGTTACCCAGGCTGGAGTGCAATGGCGCGATCTCGGCTCACCACAATCTCCGCCTCTTGGGATCAGGCAATTCTCCTGCCTCAGCCTCCCGAGTAGCTGGGGTTACTGGCATGCGCCACCGTGCCCAGCTAATTTTTTGTATTTTTAGTAGAGACAGGGTTTCACCATGTTGACCAGGATAGTCTTCATCTCTTGACCTTGTGATTCACCCACCTCGGCCTCCCAAAGTGCTGGGATTACAGGCGTGAGCCACCGCGCCCAGCCGAAACTTTTTTTTTAATGGAGTTTCGCTCTTGTTGCCCAGGCTGGAGTTGCCCTGGCTGGTGCAATCTTGGCTCACTGCAACCTCTGCCTGCCAGGTTCAAGCAATTCTTCTGCCTCAGCCTTCTCAGTAGCTGGGATTACAGGCACCACCACTACATCCGGCTAATTTTTTGTATTTTTAGTAGAGATGAGGTTTCACAATGTTGGCTAGGCTGGTCTCAAACTCCTGACCTTAGCTGACCCACCCAGCCCGGCCTCCCAAAGTGCTGGGATTACAGGTGTGAGCTACCGCACCTGGCTTGAACACACTTTTCTTAACCTCATTGCTCACTAATTAAAGAGGTGATACAGTCAGTTATACTTGTTTTCTGGTTCTATCCTCAGTGTTTACCCTTTTTTGACCTAACTTTTGCTATTGTCATGAGCACATCACTCAACTTCTACCCAGTTCCCTTTAAAAGGAAGTGACTTGAGTATGAGGATTTGTGGCTACATTGAATAGAAGGATGTGTTTTCTCTACTTACCTCTGTTATGAAGGGGCCCAGTATTACCTCCCCAGATGATTGAAGTGGAAAGAACACTGATCTTAGGTCAGACCTATATTGGAGACTTAGATTTGAATCCTTGGGAAAGTCTCAACTTCAGTTTTCTCATCTTCAAAATGGTGATCATATCTATTTTTGCTTTCTTCACCAACTTGTAAGGTTTGAATGAGCTGGTAGACAAAAGTGATTTGTGAAGAGTAAATTGCTATGTAAGTGTAGGGCATTATGAACCTTAGCTCATGTATAATCCTTTGTATGAACATAGGATTCCTCTGTGTAAATGATATTCTTTTTCAACCTCCCTTTAAGGAGTATGGATCTCACCATAGTTTAAATGATCCCTCCAGTATCATCTTGTAATTGTGTTTGGAAATTACAATTCTTGGGTTCAGAATAGCTAAGATTTGATTTCTGTTAAATACTTTTCTTTGCTTCAAGTTGGTGCGCAAGAAGCACATGTTGTCCTGCTTCCAAGATGCCCTTGTAAGGCACACCTCCCTGGTCACACAACTGGTGTCTCAGGATCAGAGAGTCTGCATGCACTTCATAAGTGTGGTTTTTGGTAAGATTAAGATGGAAATTTGACATGAGTTTTGCATGTATAGTATGTATATCTGCTTTTGGGGATCTTGGAGAAATGGTCTTAGAAAGATTATTTAGATTTTCTGTATTGTAACACTTTATTAGCAAATTGTTTTGTCATAATGATGTAGAAATGGACCCTTTTCCAAGATCCAAGATGCATTTTACAGTAACTGGCTTTACTAGAGCCAAAATGTTAGTAAAAGTGTGAAGGTGAAAATGGGAAATGTTGGCTAAGCGTGGTAGCTCATGCCTGTAGTCCCAGAACTTTGGGAGGCTGCAGCAGGTAGATCATTTGAGGTCAGGAGTTTGAGACCAGCCTGGTCTACATGCTAAAACCCCTGTCCCTACTTAAAATACAAAAAGTAGCTGGATGTGGTGATACATAACTGTAGTCCCAGCTACTCGGGAGGCTGATGCATGAGAATGAATCCTGGTGACAGAGGTTGCAGTGAGCCGAGTTCTTGCCACCACACCCCAGCCCGGGTGACAGAGCAAGACTTCGTCTCCAAAAAATAAAAATTATTCAAAGATTCCAGCATACATGGTCTTTGTACAGGACCAGATTGGAGTCTGCTGACCTAGGAATGACCCTGCTCAAGTTACTTTTCCTCTCCTGTGCTTTAATATCTTCATGTGTGAAGTGTGATGGATTAAATTTTATCTGAGGTTCTTTTAATATGATGATAATGTCCAATGGAATGAGCCCTTTCAGAGAGAAAGGCAGCTAACTTACATTGGGTGCTTTTCTATGCCAGAGACTTATCAGGCTTTTAACTACCAAGACAGTCTTTTAAGGGAGATGGGATGATCTCCAAGCTTCAGGGAGGTCATTCTAACAAGTGACAGAGCTGGAATTTTATCCCAGGTCTGTCATAGACTCCAGAGCATTTTTTTTTTTTTTTTTTGCTGTAACACATTGACAATTCTTAACTTTTTTTTTTTTTTGAGATGGTGTCTTGCTCTTTTGTCCAGGCTGGAGTGCAGTGGCTCAATCTCAGCTCACTTCAACCTCTGCCTCTTGGGTTCAAGCAGTTCTCCTGCCTCGGCTTCCCAAGTGGCTGGGATTACAGGCATGTGCCACCACACCTGGCTAATTTTTATATTTTTAGTAGAGATGGGGTTTTGCCATATTGGTCAGGCTGGTCTTGAACTCCTGACCTCAGGTGATCTGCTCACCTCAGCCTCCCAAAGAGCTGGGATACAGGCATGCACCACTGTGCCCCATCTGACCACTCCTTTCTTACCTCCCTCTGCTTTAAGGACTATTATGCACTGTGGAAGATGGGAGTGTGACAGACCTGTGTATTGAAGGTAAGTTGAAAGCATCGTATCTAGTGCTTGGAGATGAAAGTTATCAGTCTGTAGGCCAAAACCTCAATATAAAAAAAAAAAAGAACGTATCAGTCTGAATTGCAGCTCTGGTTACTTGAGACCTTGGTGAAATTGTCCATTTAGAGACAGATAAGAGGAACTCCATTAGTTTTCAATCATTAATTCAATATTTGTTTCTTACTTTTTTTTTTTTTTGAGACAGATTCGCTCTTGTTGCCCAGGCTGGAGTGCAGTGGCCATCTTGGCTCACTGTAGTCTCCACCTCCTAGGTTTAAGCAATTCTCCTGCTTCAGCCTCCTGAGTAGTTGTGAGTAGCTGGGATTATAGGCATGTGCCACCATGCCTGGTTAATTTTGTATTTTTAGTAGAGATGGGGTTTCTCTGTGTTGGTCAGGCTGGTCTTGAACTCCCGACCTCAGGTGATCTGCCTGCCTTGGCCTCCTAAAGTGCTAGAATTACAGGCATGAGCCACTGCACCAGGCTGTTTCTTTTATTTTGAGACAGAATCCTGCTCTGTTGCCTGGGCTGGAGTGCATTGGTGTGATCTTGGCTTACTGCAACCTCCACCTCACCAGTTCAATTGATCCTCCTGCCTCAGTGTCCCAAGTAGCTGAGATCTAATTTTTTTGTAATTTTACTAGAGATGGGGTTTCATCATGTTGGCCAGGCAGGTCTCAAACTCCTGACCTCAGGTGACTCACCCACCTTGGCCTCCCAAAGTGCTGGGATTATAAGTGTGAGCCACTGTGCCTGGCCTAACATTTCTTTCTTTCTCTCTGTCCCTCTTTCTCTGTCTTTTTTTTTGAGACAGAGTTTCACTCTTGTTACCCAGGCTGGAGTGCAATGGCACGATCTTGGCTCACTGCAACCTCCGCCTCCTGGGTTCAAGCAATTCTCCCACTTCAGCCTCCTGAGTAGCTGGGATTACAGGCACGCACCACCATGCCCAGCTATTTTTGTATTTTTAGTAGAGACGGGGTTTTACCATGTTGACCAGGATGGTCTCGATCTCTTGACCTTGTGATCCACCGCCTCGGCCTCCCAAAGTGCTGGGATTACAGGCTTGATCCACCGCGCCCGGCCTTTCTTTTTTTTAAAATTGAGACAGGGCCTCATTTCATCGCCCAGGCTGGAATGCAGTGGTGCAGTCATAGCTTACTGCAGCCTTGAACTCCTGGGTTCAAGCAATCTTCCTGCTGCAGCCTTCCAAGTAGCTGCAATTACAGGTGTGCACCACCATGACTGGCTAAAAAAAATTCTTTTCATAGAGACAGGGACTTACCAGGCTGGTCTCAAACTGCTAGCCTCAAGCAATCCTCCTGCCTTGGCCTCCCAGAGTGCTGAGATTATAGGCGTGAGCCACCGTACCTGGCCTGACATTTTTTCATTGCTAGATACTAGATCAGGCACTAGGGATACATAGATAGATAAGACGTGATCCCTGTCCTCTAGGAGCTTACAATGTGGAGAAGAGAATGACTGACAGGTAAATAACTAGAGTTGATGAGTGCTATTACAGAGGCACATACAAAACTTTTTTTATTATATCATATTGGTTCACTGAAAGTTGTCTGGTAGCACATACCTGTAATGCCAGCTACCCCAGAGGCTGAGGCAGGAGAATCACTTGAACCCGAAAGGCCAGGTGGCAGTGAGCTGAGATTGCGCCATTGTACTCCACACTGGGCAATAAGAGTGAAACTCTGTCTCAAAAAAAAAAAAAAAAACTGTTGAAGTGGACTGAGCATGGTAGCACATGCCTTCAGTCCCAACTACTTGGGAGCTTAAGGCGGGAAGGTCCCTTGAGCCCAGGATTTTGAGGTGACAGTGAACTATGATTGGCCCTCTGTACTCTAGGCTGGATGACAAAGTGACATTCCCTTCTCTTAAAAAAAAAGTAAACAAAAAATTGTCAAAGTGCATGGGTTTACTTACAAAGGATTTGTAGAGAAAGAAGGTAAGAGCCTTGGTATTCGAGGATTCCTGCAGAGTTAGAATTGTACTAGTTAGGATCCAGTCAAGAAATAGAAACCATACCAATTATTTGAATAGAAAGAAACTTTAAAGAATGGTTAAGTAGGCCAGGCATGGTGGCTCATGCCTGTAATCCCAGCACTTTGAAGTCAGGAGTTCGAGACCAGCCTGGCTAACATGGTGAAACCCTATCTCTACCAAAAATACAAAAAAATAAAAATTAGCTGCACATGGTGGTGGGTGCCTGTAATCCCAACTATTCGGAGGCTGAGGCAGGAGAATCACTTGAACCTGGGTGGCGGAGGTTGCAGTGAGCTGAGATTGCACCCCTGCACTCCAGCCTGGGTGACACAGCAAGACCCTGTCTTAATTTAAAAAAAAAAAAAAAGAATATTGGTTAAGTAGGTAACTGAAGAAAAAGAGAACAACCACATTTTCATGGAGGTAGTAATTACAGAAAACAATTCCCTCACTGGGGCTGAGGGAAAAAAGGAAAGAGGCTGGATGGTTAAAGCTTAGAAGTTTGGAGGAGGGGCGCACATGTGAAACTGAGACCACTGAGTGGCACTGACTAGATAATACTGTTGTCTCTGGAGAAGGAGAGATGTAATGAAGGTGGTTCTGGAAAAACTGCAGGCTGGATTCAGCTGCTGTCATAGAATGGCACTGCCACTGCCAGGATAAAGAATTGCTAAGGTGCCAGGCACTGTGGTGTGGGTCTGTAGTCCTAGCTACTCAGGAGATTGAGGCGAGAAGGATCACTTGAGCTCAGGAGTTCAAGTCCAACCTGGGCATCATAGCAAGACTGTCTCTTAAAAAACATAAATATTAAGAGGGAAGTGCATTATATGAATGAGAAGGAGTGTATTTGAATGGGAGGCAGACAGGAAACTCATAGGAAACAAAGAGGAAGGAGAAAATTCCTTCTTCCTACAGCCTTGTTATCTCTTTCTAGTGCTCATTATTGGCAGAGCTTAATGGGGTTCAGCTACCACAGCAAAAATGTTGTTTGCAGAGTCCAGCCCTAGTATCCCAAGGCAAAGTACAGGGTGGGTTTTGGAGCTGAAAGACAATAGTGAAATTACTGGTTTGGTCCATTCCTTTGGATACTTGGTGTCCAAACACCCTTCTCCACACATTTGAACTCCCACAAGAACAAAAAGAACTTTGTTTCTACCTAACAAGATCAAACTAGCCTTCATTCATATACTTCATATAAACTAAGTCATTCTCAATTTGTCCCCAGTGTATGGAGATGGAAAGTTCCAATACTAAGTATACACATTTCTGGAAGACAGTCATACCATCCATCTCTGGGGATTGTTTATTTGTTTGTTTATTTATTTATTTTTTTGAGACGGAGTCTTGCTCTGTCGCCCAGGCTGGAGTGCAGTGGCGTGATCTCAGCTCACTGCAACCTCCGCCTCCCGGGCTGCCTCAGCCTCCTGAGTAGCTGGGACTACAGGTGGTTGCTACCATGCCCAGCTAAATTTTTTTTTATTTTTAGTAGAGACAGGGTTTCACTGTGTTAGCCAGGATGGTCTCGATCTCCTGACCTCGTGATCTGTCCATTTTGGCCTCCCAAAGTGGTGGGATTACAGGTGTGATCTACCGTGCCTGGCCTATTTATTTATTTATTTGTTTTGAGACAAGGTCTCACTCTGTTGCTCAAGCTGGAGTGCAGTGATGTGATCTCGGCTCACTGAAACCTCCACCTCCCAGGTTCAAGTGATTCTCCTCTCTTAGTCTCCTGAATGTCTGGGATTACTCACATAAGGCACCACGGCTGGCTAATTTTTGTATTTTTATTAGAGGCGGGATTTTGCCATGTTGCCCAGGCTGGTCTTGAACTTATTTCTCTCTCTTTTTGTTTTATTTTTTTACTTTTGCCTCATTTGTGAAGTGAGTTCCTTGATCCAAGTGATGTTGTGCAGAATACTATGACATTGAATAAGCGATTCTGTAAGCTTACAGATGTATTTTTGGCAGAAGTATTATGGTTTGGGAAGGTAAGTTCATATTCAGAATACATGTTTATTCCAGTGAGGACAAATTTCTACCCCTCCAGGATGGAAGATGTATAGTGTAATCCACATGACACCATATAATTGGCTGGTGCCCTCAGGAATGGCGCCATGCTGGGGTCTTAGTGTTAGTCTCTGCTGTTGGCAGATTAGACACTCAGTGATAGCAGTAATCAGTTTGGCCTTGACAAGGGAGAGTCCAGGTTGTTGAGCCCCATGCATAGCCTCCAGCTCTGCCACTAAGCCACTTTGTACATGGATCCATTGAATAAGCACTTGATGGCTAGGGAAAGGTGGATTAACATTCAAAAAAATGTGCCATTTTGACCACCTGGTTATTGAGAACCTCTTCTATAGCAGATTTTCTTTAGGGAACATTCACCCAAGAGACAAGTATATCTTCATACTTTATGCTTTCATTCTGAAAGGTCCATCTTCTTCTCCAGGCCTCACTGTTGCCACTATATATATATATAAATTTTTTTTTTCTTTTTAGTCTTGCCCTGTTGCCCAGGTACAGCAAGTCCTTGTACCTGGAGTACAGTGGCAAAATCTTGGCTCACTGCAACCTCTGCCTCCCAGGTTCAAGTGATTCTCCTGCCTCAGCCTCTTGAGTAACTGGAATTACAGGCCACCATGCCTGGCTAATTTTTGTATTATTATTATTTTTTTGAGATGGAGTTTCGCTCTTGTCGCCCAGGCTGGAGTGCAATGGCGCGATCTCGGCTCAGCACAACCTCTGCCTCCTGGGTTCAAGCGATTCTCTTGTCTCAACCTCCTGAGTAGCTGGGATTACAGGCATCTGCCACCACGCCTGGCTAATTTTGTATATTTTTCTGGAGACAGTGTTTCTCCATGTTGGCCAGGTTGCTCTCGAACTCCTGACCTCAGGTGATCCGCCCTCCTCGGCCTCCCAAAGTGCTAGGATTACAGGTGTGAGTCACTACACCTGGCCTAGTCACCAGTCTTTCAATTGTGTCTTCCTCAAGTCTGTGACTATCAGCCAAAGAGTTAGCAGTTGCTTATAAGGCAATACGATCTGTATGTACTTCTGACCCGCTCTCAGTCTAGCTAATATAGACAGTGTACCACTTGTTCTGGCCACCTGGAAGATTTCCCATCATCATTTTCCTTCAAGGCCACCTTCTGGTAGAGCTACAATCCTGCAGCCATGCACTTCTGGTTGGTACCAGTATAGCTTGCAGAACCATTATCAGACCCCAGGAACTCCACCCAGGTGGAGAGCACTGGAGGGATTCTAAGGATCAGGGAGAAGGACTTGCTCCTTCCTCATGGTTCATGTTTGCTTTCTGCCTGCTTCTTGTTTCTTAGCATGTTAGCCTAGAATGCTTCTTGACACTGCAGTGACAGAACCTTCTCACAGCAGCTGCTGAATTTAGTTTGCAGCTTTTCCAACCTTGCAGAATTTCTCCTCAAAGACACGAGCAGAAGTATCACAAATGATTGTAAAGAAGGATTGTAAAGAAGGGTTTGGAGCTGAGAGATAATGTTGTAATAATTGGTATAGGAACTTGCTAATAATTCTTTTTTTTAGTATATATAAAGGAGCAAACTCTGAGGAAGGAAAAAGTAGAGATATTAGATAGCAGTTTCAAACCTGGTTTCACAGTAGACTTATCTGGAGAATTTTAGAAATACACTAGAATTTTATGTTTTGAAAATTATTTTTAAGTATAAAACATATATTAAAATATATTTAAATATAAATATATTTGTGTGTATATATATGTGTATATTTCTTCACATTAAACAATATATTGGGCTTTTCTCTTACACATTCTGATTTAATTGGTCTGGAGTGGGACTTGGGCATTAGTATTTTTTTAAAGCTTCCTAGGTGAGTCTAATGTGCAGCCTGAGTTGAGAACCACTGATATAAAAGAAGTCCAGGCATGGTAACTCACACCTATAATCCCAGCACTTTGGGAATCAGGCAGGAGGATTGCTTAAACCCAGGCATTTGAGATTAGCCTGGGCAACATAGCAAGACCTTGTCTCTACAAAAAAAATTAGAAAGTCCGGGCGTGGCGGCTCATGCCTGTAATTCTAGCACTTTGAGAGGCCAAGGTGGGTGGATCGCCTGAGGTCAGGAGTTGAAGACCAGCCTGGCCATCATGGAGAAACCCCATCTTTAAAAAAAAAAAAATTAGAAAATTAGCCAGGCATGGTGGCATGTACCTATAGTCCAAGCTACTCGAGAGGCTGAGTGGGAGGAACACTTGAGCCCAGGAATTCAAGGCTGCAATGAGCTATATCACACCACTGCACTTTAGCCTGGATGTTGACCATGTTCCTAAACAAAACAAAAAACAGAGAAGAAGCTAGAACTCCTTGAGTTTGGATGTGTACACATAGTTTAATGGAAGAAATAGAAACGAATAATACCAATTATCCCAGGCAAATCACTACCCTACACTGACTGAGTAGAAGGGCCATGGAAGGTGGACTTTGAGTTGGGGGTACCTCCTGGTTAGTAATGCTATTGTGTCTACTCAGTCCTTATTCAGCTCACAACGCAGCTGAAGCTGGAGCAGTCCATCCGTTGCCTGCTGGATGAGTGCCACAAAGAGGTCAGTAAATATCTATGGATTCTTCAGATATCTGAGAGTCCTCAGTTGTCAGAGCTGGATCAAGCATTCTTTGAACAAATGAGAGACTGAAGTTTGTGAGGTCACTGAGTTGGTGGTGGAATCAGAGCTAAGGCCTGGGACCACTGATCCTGTTCCAGTGTTCTTTATAGCTTTCTTCCTTTCTCTTTTTTTTTTTTTTTGAGACAAAGTCTCGCTCTTGTCCCCCAGTCTGGAGTGCAGTGGTGCAATCTCTGCTCACTGCAACATCTGCCTTAAGGTTCAGGCGATTCTCTTGCATCAGCCTTTGGAGGAGCTGGAATTAACAGGCAACTGCCACCATGCCTGGCGAATTTTTGTATTTTTAGTAGAGACGCAGTTTCACCATATTGGCCAGGCTGGTCTTAGATCTCCTGACCTCAGGTAATCCACCCGCCTCGGCCTCCCAAAGTGCTGGGATTACAGGTATGAATCACCATGCTCAGACTTCTTTCTTTCTTTTTATTTTATTTTTTTTGAGACAGAGTCTTGCTCTATCACCAGGCACCAGGCTGGAGTGCAGTGGTGTGATCTCGGCTCACTGCAACCTCTGCCTCCCGGTTCAAGCAATTCTGCCTCAGCCTTTCAAGTAGCTGGGACTATAGGTGAGCGCTACCACGCCCAGCTAATTTTTGTATTTTTAGTAGAGGTGGGGTTTCACTATGCTGGCCAGGATGGTCTCAATTTCTTGACCTCATGATTCGCCTGTCTTGGTCTCCCAAAGTGCTGGGATTACAGGCATGAGCCACCGCGTCCAGCCTCTTTCTTTCTTTCTTTTTTTTTTTCAGATGGAGTTTCTCTCTTGTTGCCCAGGCTGCAGTGCAATGGTGAAATCCCGGCTCACCACAACCTCTGCCTCCCAGGTTCAAGAGATTTTCCTGCCTCAGCCTTCCGAGTAGCTGGGATTACAGGCATGTGCCACTATACCCAGCTAATTTTGTATTTTTAGTAGAGTCAAGGTTTCTCCATATTGGTCAGACTGGTCTTGAACTCCCGCCCTCAGGTGATCTGCCTGCCTCAGCCTCCCAAAGTGTAATCTTATCTACTCAGGAGGCTGAGGCAAGAGAATTGCATGAACCCCCAGGAGGTGAATGTTACAATGAGCCAAGATCACCCCACTGCACCCCAGCCTGGGTAACAAAGCAAGACTCCAACTCAAAAAAAAAAAGTCAGTTAAAGAGTAGTGTTAAGACTGAGTAATAATATCAGAATAACTTTTCATTTATTTTGCAGAAGGAAGACAAATGTTTATCTTAACACCATCACAAGCAACATTTCAATATAAATTATATTTCAATTATGTCATAATTATTTTGCATGTATGATTAATATATTGAATTTATAATTATATATATCAGTGCTTGTCATTATGATGAGCACTTAACATTTATTGAGCACATTGTATAGGCTAGGCACTGTATTAGGTGTTTTATATGCAGTACCTCATTCAGTCCTATCAACCCTGTAAAGCTGTTACTATTGTTATTACCCACCAGAGTTAAGAATCTTGCCAAAAGTGGTATGGCTAGTCAATAGAAAAGGTAAAATGTGGACTACTGACTCTCTCTATAAAGCATGAAGCATAGTACCTGGTATACAGAGAATGTTCAGTAATAGTAGTTATAATAACAATGATAATTTTTTTTTTTTTTTGAGATGGAGTCTCATTCTGCCACCCAGGCTGGAGTGCAGTGTCGTGATTTCGGCTCATTGCAACCTCGGCCTTCTGGGTTCAAGTGATTCTCCTGCCTCAGCCTCCTGAGTATCTGGGATCACAGACATGGGCTACCAGGCCCCACTAATTTTTGCAATTTTAGTAGAGACAGGGTTTCACCATGTTGGCCAGGCTGGTCTCAAACTCCTGACCTCAGGTGATCTGCTCTCCTTGGCCTCCCAAAGTGCCGAGATTACAGGCTTGAGCCACTGCATCCAACCAGTATATATATATTTTTTTAATATTGAATCGGTGTTCTGTCTTTATGACATTTCAAACTTTTGTCCTCCAGTTTCTGGTTCTATAGGGGTGAAAATATGCTAATTTTAATTCAGTGTTAAACATGCACTGAGCTAGGTACTGAAGACTCTGAGAGGACTCAGGAAGGGGACTCATGTCCCTTTCCTCCGGCAGTTCCCAGTCTAACGGGGGCATTGGATGCTAAGCTAAAAAAGCTGATTCCTGACTGTGGTGAGAGACACATGCAACACACCTGTGTGGGTAGGGCAGGATCAGTTTTGGTGGGAGATCTGTCCTGATCCTAATTGACAAAGTGGAGCATATTCACTTTCTGTAGCTATATAATATGCCCTCCATGCGAGGCAGCCTGGCTACCCTGACTCTTCTTGGCAAGTTGGTGGATGCCATCCCTGCTCTGGCAGACCAGCTTGTAATGGAGCACGGTGAGTGATCTGTGGCAGGAACTGCCACTACCCTTTTATCTGCTTTTATTATACTGCCATCTGGGTGGCCCATTCATTCTGTATACCTGGGATGACATTACTTTCCTACTCTAGCCTTCAGTTTCCCCGTTTGTAAAATGTGCTGTATGTTGGTCAGTTTGAAAAAGGTCAGATTTCTGACTCTATTCTTGGACTATTACATTCATTCTTTAACATAAATTAAGTACCTACTATGAACCTTCCTTTTGGATGGAAGGAGGAATTCTGGAATATAGAAGCACTTTTTTCTTTTTTCTTTTTTTGTGTGGATGTACCAAAATTTATTTAATTCTTTGTCACTGGACTTTTGTTTCACTAATATGTAGACACTGTGTAAGCAATGTCTCAACATCTCTGCACCTCTATTTTTGGTATAAGTATTTCCTTAGGATAAAGTTCCCGACATGGAATTGCAAGGTGTAAAAGATTATTAACATATCTGAAGGCCTTAAGATGCCCTTACGGTGTATTTGTTACATCCTGCTTCCACACAAATTCTTCTGTATAGCCAATACCCAAGCTGCAGCTCTCAGCACAGGTGAAGACAGCCAGGATGCCCCAGTCAATGCTCTTGCCGGGTCTGTCAGCCTTCAGGTAGTTTAGGAGCTGAGGCATGACCTGGAATTCAAATATTCTCTTGGCACCACAGGGGCAATCTGGAATATCCTTTTCTTGAGAAATATTTTCACCAGAAATCCAGATGGGGGCAATACCTCTGCCATATCTGAGAATCTGTTCTGGTTCAAGGGCTATCTGAGTTTTAAACTTCTGAAAAATTTTATCTTCTCTGGATTCATGTTTTGCCATGGAATCCAGTTCTTCCTCAAGTGCTTCACCCATGCTCCGTATAATCTCTGAGTAATCTTCCTTTCCACAATCTCAGGCAATATTTCATCTTCTGTTTCTTTTTTTTTTTTTTTTTTTTTTTTTGAGACGGAGTTTCCCTCTTGTTACCCAGGCTGGAGAGCAATGGCGCAATCTCGGCTCACCGCAACCTCTGCCTCCTGGGCTCAGGCAATTCTCCTGCCTCAGCCTCCTGAGTAGCTGGGATTACAGGCACGCGCCACCATGCCCAGCTAATTTTTTGTATTTTTAGTAGAGACGGGGTTTCACCATGTTGACCAGGATGGTCTCGATCTCTTGACCTTGTGATCCACCCGCCTCGGCCTCCCAAAGTGCTGGGATTACAGGCATGAGCCACCGCGCCCGGCCTCATCTTCTGTTTCTATTACAATTTCAAATTCTGGAAAAAGGAAGTTGTGGTCTGGAATTATATGGTCCAAATGATTTGGTTGTGCACAAGCCTGCTTATGTCCCAGTCTCCAGTCTAGGGTCTGATGCTCCTTGCTGCAATAGTACACTTTGTGGCATCTGGAGCACGTTTTGGGGCCTAAACAGCCACAAACCCTGCATAGATGAGCACTAGACTTAAGTTGGAGACACACCGATTCGGTTTCTGGGGGAGGATTCTCAGAAGGTGGCTCATATGAATAAAAATCATTTTTCCTGGGTAGTTGATTCCTAAAAACTCACAGGCCGGTACAGCATGGCGGCTCGCGGCACCAGAAAAGGAAGATGCCGCGGTGGAAGGCGTCGGCGCGGCTGGGCGTCGGCGCGTACACCTGCAGCAGGAAGGAGAGCGGGCGGCCACGCAGGGTGCAGGCTAGGATCCCGGGCCCCGGCCGCCTGGACGCGCCCAGCCATGCTGGCCGCCCGCCTACCTTGCTGCAGAACTCTAGAAGCACTTTTTTCTATCAGTGAAATGCAAATAAATATCTCACAGAGGATTTACCAAAGGGTAAATAACTTCTTTAAGTTGGTTTCCCTTTAAAAAAAATATATAATAATAATTTTTTGAGAGAGTCTCTCTGTGTCACCCAGGCTGGAGTGCAGTGGCCTGATCATGGCTCACTGCAACCCCCACCTCCCAGGTTCCAGTGATTTTTCTGCTTCAGCCACCCAAGTAGCTGAGATTATAGGTGTCCACCACCATGCTGGGCTAATTTTTTTTTTTTTTTAGTCAGAGTTTTGCTCTGTTGCTTAGGCTGGAGTGCAGTGCTGTGATCTTGGCTCACTGCAACCTCCACCTCCCAGGTTCAAGCAATTATCCTGCCTCAGCCTCCCGAGTAGCTGGGACTACAGGTGTGTGCCACCACACCTGGCTAATTTTTATATTTTTAGTAGAGATGTGATTTCACCATGCTGGCCAGGCTGGTCTTGAACTCCTGATCTTGTGATCCACCCACTTTGGCCTCCCAAAATGCTAGGATTACAGGCACCGTGCCTGGCTTAATTATTATTATTATTATTGTTACTATTATTTTGAGATGGGATCTCGCTCTTGTTGCCCAGGCTGGAGTGCAATGACTCAATTTCGGCTCACTGTATCCTTCACCTCCCAAGTTAAAGTAGCTGGGATTACAGATGCCCGCCACCACGTCTGGCTAATTTTTGTACTTTTAGTAGAGACAGGGTTTTGCCATGTTGGCCAGGCTGGTCTTGATCTCACCTCAGGTGATCTGCCCACTCAGCTTCCCTAGGTGCTGGGATTACAGGCATGAGCCACTGCACCCAGCCATTATTATTATTTTTTAGAGACCAAGTCACTATGTTGAGGAGGTTGGTCTCAAACTGCTGGCCTCAAGAGATCCTCCTGCCTTGGCCTCCTCAGCACTTAGCTGAGATTATAGGAATGAGCCATCACACCTGGCCTTTTTTTTTTTTTTTTGAGATGGAGTCTTGCTCTGTTGCCCAGGCTGGAGTGCAGTGCAGTGGCATGATCTCGGCACACTGCAATCTCTGCCTCATGGGTTCCAATGAGTCATGCCTTAGCTTTCCAAGTAGCTGTGATTATAGGTGGGTACCAGCATGCCCGGCTAATTTTTTTTTTTTAAGACAAAGTTTCACTTGTTTCCCAGGCTAGAGTTCAGTGGTGTGATCTTGGCTCCCTGCAACCTTCGCCTCCTGGGTTCAAGCGATTCTCTTGCCTCAGTCACCCAAGGAGCTGGGATTACAGGTGCCCATCCAGCCATTTTTTTTGATATTTTTAGTAGAGATGGGATTTCACCATGTTGGCCAGGCTGGTCTTGAACTCCTGACCTCAGGTGATCCGCCTGCCTCGGCTTCCCAAAGTGCTGAAATTACAGGTGTGAGCCACTGTGCCCGGCCTAATTTTTGTATTTTTAGTAGCGGCAGAGTCTTGCCGTATTGGTCAGGCTGGTCTCAAACTCTTGACTTCAGATGATCCTTCTGCCTTGGCCTTCCCAAGTGCTGGGACTACAGGTGTGAGTCACTCTGCTCAGTTTGGTTTTCCCTTTAGATTAAGCATGCAGAAAACATTTATTGTGGGGGATTATAGGGACTTACTGTTACTATCCCATTGGGAATGATAGATTGGAGTTTCATACAGCAATTGACATTGTGAAATTTTCCCTGGCTCTTTGGTCGTTTTCTGAACAGGCAACCTGATGGACTATCTATTGAGAGGCTTACTATACCCCAATGAGGGCATAAAAGCTTCTGTCTGTTACCTTTATGGGAAGCTGTACTCCTCACCAGTGGCAGCTGAGATGCTTTCAGGACATTTCCGGGAGAAGCTTTTTCCCCTCTTCCTTTCCATCCTGGATGATGCCCAGACAAAGGAGCTGCAGATTAACTGCTTGGGTAAGAAATGAGGCTGGAGAAAAAAGGGAGAATAAGTTTTTGATATTTTGTTAGAGGACTTGAGATACTGGGTTCTCTAGTAGTGGGGAAGTTTGCTGTTTTGCAAAAGATAGAAGCCACAAGGTTTGGGATATGAGAGGCACACTGTGTGAAAGATGCCTAGAGTTAGTATGACTTCTTAAGAATGTTGCCTTTTGGAGGAAAATAGGAAGGAAAGTGGGACAGCAATTTTTTCTGCCTTTAGTCTTTACTGCCTGCCCTAGAGCATCCTGTACTTGCTGTCAAGTTAATCTTTACATCATGCAGCTCACATCCTGTCACTTTCTTAAGTCAGAAATTCTTCCATGGTTCTCTCTGGCCTCCAGGGTAAAGCCCAGGTGTCTTAGTACATTTTATGCTGCTGTAACAAAAGTATGCCACAGACTAGGTAATTTATAATGAAGAACTTGTTGGTTCAGAAATTTATTGGTCCACAGTTCTGGAACCTAGGAAGTTCAAGGTCAAGAGGCTGGCATTTGGTGAAGTTCTTCTTGCTGTCATTCCATGGTGGAAGGGCAAAGAGAGGGCAAGAGGGGACTGAACTTGTCCTTTTATTGTTGTTGTTGTTGTTGAGATGGAGCCTTGCTCTGTTGCCCAGCTGGAGTGCAGTGAGGCAGTCTCAGCTCTCCAATTCCCGGGTTCAAGACATTCATCTGCCTCAGCCTCCTGAGTACCTGGGATTATAGGTGCCCACCACCACATTCGGCCAATTTTTGTGTTTTTAATGGAAACAGGGTTTCATCATGTTGGCCAGGCTGGTTTCAAACTCCTGACCTCAGGTGATACACGCCTCACCCTCCCTAAGTCCTGGGCCACTGTGCCTGGTCTGAACTTGTTCTTTTATGAGGAGCCCACTCTCATGATAACAAACCCACTCCAGTGGTGATGGCATTAATTCATTCATGAGAGTTCAAACCCCAGACTCATGACCCAAACACCTCCCATAGGCCCCAGCTCCCAATACCGCTGCATTGGGGATTAAGTTTCCAACATGTGATTTTGGGGGACACATTCAAACCATAGTGCTAGGTTTTTCTGCTTGTATTTGAGGCTCTTTAGCAGCCCCAGTATAACCTTTTAGCTTCCTCTTCTGCTATGTTTTTTTACATAAATACATAAAGTCTAATCAACTGTTCTGAGGAGGGAGATTTCTTTTTTTTATTTTTTTATTTTTGAGACGGAGTTTCACTCTTGTTACCCAGGCTGGACTGCAATGGCGCGATCTGGGCTCACTGCAACCTCCGCCTCCTGGGTTCAGGCAATTCTCCTGCCTCAGCCTCCTGAGTAGCTGGGATTACAGGCATGCGCCACCATGCCCAGCTAAATTTTTTTGTATTTTTAGTAGAGCCAGGTTTCACCCTGTTGACCAGGATGGTCTTGATCTCTTGACCTCGTGATCCACCTGCCTCAGCCTCCCAAAGTGCTGGGATTACAGGTGTGAGCCACCACGCCCGGCCCGAGATTTCTTATTTTGAACAGAACAGATGGGCACTGTGATTGGTGCCTGGGTAAGGGCCTGTTCTCAGGTAGAAGCTGCAGAGAAAACCATAGTCTATAGCCTATGGGTGACAGCAGCTTCTTTTTTTCTTTTCATTTTGTTTATTTATTTATTTATTTTTTTGACGAAGTCTCATTCTGTCACAAGGCTGGAGTGCAGTGGTATGATCTTGGCTAACTGCAACCTCTGCCTTCTGGGTTCAAACTATTCTCCTGCCTCAGCCTCTTGAGTAGCTGGGACTACAGGTGCATGCCACCATTCCCAGCTAATTTTTTTGTATTTTTAGTAGAGACAGGATTTCACCATGTTGGCCAAGATGGTTTCCATCTCCTGACCTTGTGATCCTCCTACCTCTGCCTCTCAAAGTGTTGGGATTACAGGCATGAGCCACGATGCCCTGACAGCTTCTTTTCAAAATTTGGATCAGGAGCTCTGTTATGAATAATCTAGCCATATATAGTGAGCATTCATTCTATACCATGCCCTGTGCTGGGCTCTGAGGTCACAGAGATTATAAAATCCAAGCTTTATCTTGGGGGAGCTCACAGGCCAGTGTAGAAGACACACGTGGACAACTAGAGTCTAGTGCGATGAGTGTTTTCTTGGAAGTGCACAGCGCAGGGTAGGAGCAGGGGAGCAGGGGACAGGAGAAGCTTCCTAAAGGAAAGGATTCCTGGACTGAGTCCTAAATTGATGGAGGGGGAGGAAGGCAGAAGCATGGGCCAAAGCACAAAGTATGAAGCAGCCTGTATCTGCGGTAACTTGGAGCTGGGCAGTATTGGAGTTAGTGCATATAGAACAAAAGGGGGCAAGTATGGGCCCTAAGGTGAGGCCCTGGGCAGTCCTACAGCTCACCTGGCCATAGCAGACGGCAATTTCAATGATAATACTGGGAATTCCCACTTTTATTTTTAAAAATTTTTATTTACTTATTTATTTTGACACAGGGTCTTGTTCTGTCACCCAGGCTAGAGTGCAGTGGTATGATGACAGCTCATTACATTTTTGACCTCCAGGGCTTAAGCAATCCTCCCACCTCAGCTTACTGAGTAGCTGGAACCACAGCCTGCACTACCATGACTGGCTAATTAAAAAAAACTTTTTGTAGAGTTTAGGCCTCACTCTATTGCCCAGGCTAGTCTCAAACTGCTGAACTCAAGGGATCCACGTGCCTTGGACTTCCAAAGCGCTGGGATTATAGGCATGAACTACCACACCCAGCCAGAATTCCCATTTTTAAATGCTGCCTCTTTTTTTTTTAATTAAAAAAAATTAACCCTATGCATGTTTGTCAAGCCTGAGGGCCTCTTTCATCCTGGTCAAGGGGAATGCTAACCTTATCTCTTTTCATACAACACTTTATTTATTTATTTATTCGAGATGGAGTCTCAAACTGTCACCCAGGCTGGAGTGCAGTGGTCTAATCTCAGTTCACTGGAACCTCTTGGGTTCCAGTGATTCTCCTGCCTCAGCCTCCCAAGTAGCTGGGACTACAGGCGTGCGCCACCACACCCGGCTAATTTTTATGTTTTTTAGTAGAGATGGGGTTTCACCATGCTGGTCAGGCTGGTCTCAAACTCCCGACCTTGTGATTTGCCCGCCTCGGCCTCCCAAAGTGCTGGGATTACAGGCATGAGCCGCTGCCTCTGGCCCCATACAACACTTTAAAGGCCTCCTCTTCTCTGGAGCTTTTCCCTCCTACCCTCTCCCTGCAGCCAGGGGTATAGTCACATCCTTTGGATCCTTCAAGTGCTATGGGTCTTATATTCTGTTATATATCATCTTATTCATTTGCTTTACAACCCAAGATCCTTATAAGCTCTTATGAGGTGCACACCACCATGCCAGGCTACTTTTTGTATTTTTTTTAGTAGAATGGGGGTTTCACTATGTTGACCAGGCTGGTCTTGAACTCCTGACCTCAAGTGATACACCTGCCTTGGCCTCCAAGGTGTGAGCAACTGTGCATGGTCTTGTCTGACTTGTTTTTGTGTCTGTTTTTCCTGCAGGAGTGTATGCCACCTTTGTCAGTCAAAAAATATTTGAGTTTCTGCTATGTGTCAGGAACTGTGCCAGGTGATTGATGATGTCATGGTGAAAAAACTCACATTATTCCTGCCCTCATGAAGCTTATAGTTGAGTAGGGCAGTTGGACTATGTTTATCTTGCTTACCCTTGCACCCCTAGACCGTTAGGCCTAGCACTTAGCGGGCTCTCACCAGTTCTGTATGGAAGAGAGAAGGGTGTGAAAAGCAAATTGGTGCTTAAGGATTCTAACCATCCTTTATATTTATGTAGACACAAAGAAGTTCCTCTGGGGATGTCTGAGGAGCTATCTTGGGACTATGCTGGTGCCTGTGTTCCTTTCTTTTTACTTCCCAATCTCTGTTTCCTAGGTTTGCTGAGGCAGCTGTTGAAGTATGACCTCTTTGTGTCCATGATCATGAACAAGGTTGCACTAGAAGAAAGTGCTAAGAATATTGAGGGGCCCCCAGGAGATCCCTCACTGCCCTTGGTGCTCAAAAAGGTAATTGTCTACATCAAGACTAGGAATCACAAGACAATTCCTATTCTCTAGGTTCAATAACAAGGGGAACTAAGCGCTTCTTGGGCCTTGTCTTCATCTACCACTCCTATCTCAGATTTCCAAGTGTTTTCTTACTGGGCAAAACAATAAACTGGCTGGGAGCGGTGGCTCATGTCTGTAATCCCAGCACTTTTTCTTCTTTTTTTTTTTAAAAGAAGACGGGGTTTGACCACGTTGGTCAGGCTGGTCTTGAACTCCCAACCTCAGGTGATCCACCCACCTTGGCCTCCAAAGTGCTTGGATTGCAGGCGTGAGCCACCACTCCCAGCCCTGTCCCAGCACTTTGGGAGGCTGAGGCAGGCGAATCATGAGGTCAGGAGTTTGAGACCAGCTTGGCCAATATGGTGAAACCCATCTTTACTAAAAAATGCAAAAAAATTAGCCAGGCGTGGTGGTGTGCACCTGCAGTCCAGCTGCTTGGGAGGCTGAGGCAGGATAATCCCTGGAACCTAGGAGGCAGAGGTTGCAGTGAGCAGAGATCGTGCCACTGCAATCCAGCCCGGGAGACAGAGCAAGACTGTATATCAAAAAAAAAAAAAAAAAAAAAAGAAAGAAAGAAATTAGGTTTCTTGCTAGGTACTGTGGATCATGCCTGTAATCCCAGCACTTTGGGAAGCCTAAGCAGGTGGATCACGAAGTCAGGAGTTCAAGACCAGCCTGGTCAAGATGGTGAAACCCCATCTCTACCAAAACTACAAAAATTAGCTGAGTGTGGTAGTGGGCACCTGTAATCCCAGCTACTCAGTAGACTGAGGCAGGAGAATCACTTGAACCCAGTAGGCGTAGGTTGCAGTGAGCCAAGCTCATGCCACTATACTCCAGCCTGGGTAACAGAATGAGACTCTATCTCAAAAAAAAAAAAAGAAAGTAGGTTTCTTTTTATTTGTAAATTTTCTTTTTTTTTTAAGAGTTGACGTCTTGCTCTATATATCCAGGCTAGAGTGCAGTGGCATAATCATAGCTCATTGCAGCCTCTCAACCTTCTGGGTTTAAACGATCCTCCTGTTTCAGCTTCCTGAGTAACTGAGACTACAGGTGTTTGCCATGATGCATGGCTAATTTTTCATTTTTTGTAGAGACAGGGATCTTTCTATGTTGTCTGGGCTGGTCTCAACTCCTGGACTCAAGTGATCCTTCCACCTTGGTCTCCAAAGTGCTGGGATTACAGGTGTGAGCCACTGCACCCAGGCTCAGTTGTAAATTCTTATCTCTGCACTTCCCCTTCACATCTGGGCTGCCTGAAAATGGAGAATACTTACAGCGACAGAGACAACGTCACCTCAGTGCTTTAGGGATCAGCTTCTCAGGTTGGTACTGAGAATTGTCTTTATCTGGACCCTGCTCATCCCTTCTGCCTCACTTTCCTGTCTCTTCCACCACACAACCCAGTTCTCCAGCCACATGCAATCTCTCCCTGGTCCTGTATATGCTAGGTCATCCTGTCTCAATGCCTGTGCAGTTGCTCTTCCTCTGCCTATAGGGCTTTTTCTCCTCTCCTTTTCTGCTGATCTGAGTCAGGCTTTAAGCCTATGGGGCTCCCACGTCACCCTGGCTTCTTTCGGCAGAATGTGACCCACTGTCACAGTGCTTACCTCATACCATATTGTCGTTGACTGGCTGGGAGCTCCTTCAGGGCAGGCCCTAAGTCTGGCATTTCTCCCCAGAGCTCGACATAGGGGCTGGCAGAGCTGCAAACCTTCATGTGATAGTTGAGGTTGATTGCCCAAACTCTGGGGCTCTGTCTGCAGCAAGGAAGAGGAGGAGAAGCTCTGGTTAGAAGTGAGAAGGGGACAGTTGAGGATGGGTGAAAGCCAGAGCAAATTGTTCCTTGTTTCTCTGCGATGACTTTAGAATGGCCTATGCAAGGCCTATGTCTCTGAACCAGAAAATCTCATGCCAGGTCCCTTGCTATGTTAATTTCTCTGTTGCCATCCTGGAGTCCATGTTAACTTGTGGTTAGAACATTCAATCCTGGGTCCAGCAGGGGCATAAGTACTTACAAAAAGGGTCTGTGGCCTCACAGAACACCAAGGCAGCATGGGGATGACAGTGGCAGGCATTAATGAGCGCTACCCTAGGGTGAGAGAACTTTGTAGAGACGGAAATCTTGGCTTAAAGGTCCCAGCTTTCATCCATATGTGGAGAATATTCTTCTGTTGGCAATTGTGGATGATCAGGGTTTTATTTTACTATAGCCACCAGTAGGTTTGGGACTAGGGAAGGCAAGTGAGGTACTTGCCTTGGGTGTAAAATTAAATGAGTGCTAAAGAAACTCAGCAATCAAGAGAACTAATATCTTTAGGTATCAAAATTAATGCAAAAAATTAATGATGAACAAAATATCAAAATTTTAAATAAAGATAAGATTGGCATGTGTTCTCCATTCTGTCATTTTTGAAATTGTGAGTCTAATGCTATTCTTTTCTGCTTTTGGCGGAAGATCAACCTTTTCTCCAAAATTCAGGTCCTTGGGAATATGTTCTCAATATTTGTGTTCCTACTGTGGCAATGATGATTCATTTATTTGGTTAAATACCTACCAAGCACTAATGTAATGTGTCAGTCACTGTGTTGGGCACTGGAAATACCATGTTATGAAAACAGACATGTTTCTTGCCCTTAGAGATTATTACAAATGCTATGGAGGAAATAAAGGGGAGATAGTAGCAGATAAAGCCATTTACAGGTTGAATGGTAGGGCAGGACCTCTTTGAAGGGCTGACATTTGAGCTGACATTTTAAGAATTAATATGAAATGGGCCAGGCATGGTGGCATATGTCTGTAATCCTAGCACTTTGGGAGGCCAAGGCAGGTGGATCACTTGAGGAGTTGACCAGCCTGGCCAAAACCCTATCTTCACTAAAAAAACAAAAATGAAACAAACACACACACACACAGAACAAAAACACACAAAAAATTGTTTTTATAGTTTGTGCACAGTGGCTCACACCTGTAATTCCAGCACTTTGGGAGGCCAAGGTGGGTGGATCACTTGAAGTCAGCAGTTCCAGACCAGCCAGGCTAACATGGTGAAATCTTGTCTCTTCTAAAAATAGAAAAAATTGTGTGATGGTGCATGCCTGTAATCCCGGCTACTCGAGAGGCTGAGGTGGGAGGATTGCTTGAACCTGGGAGACAGTGTTCTTTGAGTACCCCTGGTGGATTTTACATTGTGTTCTTTCCTTATTTTTCTCACCTGCTGCTATTCGCAGAGACCCTTTCCCATAATCCATAACTGCTCTTCTGAGCACCATCCTTGTGCCTGGTGCCATGTGGGACAGAAAGGATCAGAAATAGGCTATTGTCTTGAGGCACCCAGGTCAGTTTTTCTGGTCTTGTTGGTGGTGTGACTGGGGTATTTTTTGCTGCCTGTTTCTCCAGCTTCTCCTCTCTAGAGATGAAACCCTGCAGGTGGCCAGTGCTCACTGTATAACTGCGGTGCTTGTCCACTCCCCAGAGAAGTATGCCCCTGCCTTCATCCATGCTGACATTCCAGGTAGGGGGGCCCTTTAACTTTTTCCTCCCTGTACTAGAAGGATGGGGTGGTGATAGGTTCAATTGTGTATGACAGACTCTATGAAGTAGGTCTCATAACATCCGAATCCTATTGCTACAGATTTCTTGTATGACCTTGAGCAATTTGTTATTGATTTTTGTCATTTATTTGGCCATCTAGGAATAAAAAGCTAATGTAGATGGTGGAAAGACCTGTGGACCAGGAAGGCAACAGGAAGCAATAATTTTCAAGGGACTGCTATGAGCAGGGATATATGCCCTGAGGTGCACTGCAAATGTTACCACACTTAGGTCTTCACCTTTACTATTTTATAGATAAGGAAGTTGAGGCTCAGAGAATGAAAGAATTGGCAAGCCTAGTCAAGTCAAGTCTTTTTGACTAAAAACTTTTTCCTTCATCCATGTCACTGCCCATTCTGAGAATTAGGAGATGTAAGTTCCAATCCCACTTCTTTCACTGCTAGTGCCTCTTCTCTGGGACTCAGTTTCCCAATCTGTTAAAAAAGCAGAGGTTAAACCATAACCAAGGGTACTTTCCAGGTTTATTAGTGAATTGATGATCATGACTCATGGAGAGGGTAAGTGAACAGATGAAGTAGCAAGAGTAAGGTGATGAATAAATCCAAGTCCTTAGCATCAGTTAAGGGATCGTGATCACATTGCTGTCATTTATTGTTTTCTCATCCTCTCCCCTGTCAGAGTTCCTCTTTGAGCATCTTTCCTCTTCCAGCGAAGTGCTCGTCTGGTCCAGCTACAACTGCTTGACACTCCTGGCAGAAGAGCCACTCTTTTTTTCCAAGTGCCACACGGTGTATGGTTCGTAGTAAGGGTCCTGTACTAGCTTTGGGTTGGGTGGACAGCAGTTTGCAGTTAGGTAGCAGCAGCAGTGATCGGGGGGCTAGCCTCCATCTTGGAAGGGAGTGCTGAGTCTAGACATTTCCATCAGCCCAAACTCATTACCAGATTTCATATGCAAGTATTGATATTCAAATATTCTGCTCTTCACTGATTATCAGAGTATATACGTTTAGACTCTTCAGCAAGGGAAGGACACTTCTCTTAGCCACTAAGTGAATTATTGTTGCATATTAACAACAACTCTAAACAATGTTACTCAACCTTAGATTTAGTTCTTTCCCATGCCCCAGATAGCTAACCATCCAGGTAGTCTCTACGTTTTGGTAATTTATTCTTTCAGAGTTTCTTGAAACTGTCCCTTCCTTGTCTGGGACTTTTTATATCACATCTAGATTTTTAGAGCAGGCACATTCAGTCATTCATTTTATATTCCTAGTTTATACCAGGCACCAGGCTGGAAACTGGAGATTTAGAGATAACAAATAACATGCTCCTTGTCCTCAGAAAAGGGAGAGAGACCCAAACGGGAAATTTCCTTATGAGCTGATTAGAGCTGTGCTAGAGGGAAGCACAGGAGCTGTGGGGGCTCAGGAGAGGTTCACAGCTCTGTCTGAGTGGATCAGGGAAGGTTTTTTGGAGGAGGGGGGTTTTAACCTGATTCTCCAAGGAGGAATAGGAGTATGCCAAGTAGAGAAAATATGGCTTGGTCAGTAGGTGTTCACTGACAACCTCAAGTGCCAGGGACTGTGCTATGGCTGGTACTGGGCGTTGGAGACACAGATGAATCAGATGAAGGCCAGGCCTTAAAGATCTCACAGTCTGGTCCCATTAGCTCAACCTTGTCAGGGTTCCCTCCATGAGTGGCCTCCAACTGATACATGCTGTCCAGAGTCTGTCACCTCTCCTGGGTGGGTGGTGAAGGAACAAGAGAGCAGTGATCCCTGGCCTCTGTCATGTTATCCTATGGTAGGGATTGAGGCAGTGGTGAGGAGCCTGCAGGCAAGTCTGAAGATGAACAACACAGAGCTGCACAAGCAGGGTCTGCTGCTTTTCACTGAAATCCTGACCCGGTGAGCAAAGTGGTGGAACATAAAGCTTGTTGGGGCCGGACTGCAGAAGTAAAAGTGGGCTTTTATTCCCAGTGGGGTCAGTGATAGGAGTTCTCCTACTCATTTCTCATTTACCATTTCTCAGGCAACCAGAGGAGATCAAGCTGTTCACAAGCTCAGCCATGTGGAGAGATGCTGGCTGTGCCCTCAAAGAAGCAGTTAGCAGCCCTGTGCTGGAGGTGGCTGCTGAGGCTGTGAAGGCCACTTCTGCTTTTCTGAGGTGAGAGACCCAGGCAGGCTGAAATTTCCATCCCTGTATGTACCAAAGGGCCTGTCAAGGCCAGGGGAGCTAATATTTAAGTATCTCTAGATTACTTATAATACCTAATATAGTTGGCCCTCCATGATTGTGGGTTCCACATCCATGGATTCAACCAACCATAGATTGAAGTTTTTTTTTTTTTTTTTTTTTGGTAGGGAGATGGAGTTTTGCTCTTGTTGCCCAGGCTAGAGTGCAATGGTGCGATCTCGGTTCACTGCAACCTCTGCCTCCTGGGTTCAAGTGATTCTCCTGCCTCAGCCTCTCAAGTAGCTGGGATTACAGGCATGTGCCACCACACCTGGCTAATTTTTGTTTATTATTATTTTGACATGGAGTCTTACTCTGTCGCCCAGGTTGGAGTGCAGTGGTGCTATCTCAGCTCATCAGAACCTCTGCCTCCCGGGTTCAAGCGATTCTTCTGCCTCAGCCTCCCGAGTAGCTGGGATTACAGGTGTGCACTACCATGCTTGGCTAATTTTTGTTTTTTTAGTAGAGATGGGGGTTTTGCCATAGTTGGTCCGGATGGTCTCGAACTCCTGACTTTGTGATCCACCTTCCTCAGCCTCCTAAAGTGCTGGGATTGCAAGTGTGAGCCACCACACCCAGAAATTTTTGTATTATTAGATGGGGTTTCACCATGTTGGCCAGGTTGGTCTTGAATGCCTGACCTCAGGTGATTCTGCTGGCTCAACCTCCCAAAGTGCTGGGATTACAGGTGTGAGCTACTGCACCTGGCTGAAAATATGTTTTAAAAAAATGGATGGTTGTGTCTGTATTGAACGTGTACAGACTTTTTTTCTTGTTATTATTCCCTAAACAATATAATATATGCTTGGCATGGTGGCTTACACCTGTAATCCCAGCACTTTGGGAGGCCGAGGTGGGTAGATCACTTGAGACCAGGAGTTCAAGACCAGGCTGTACAACATGACAAAACCTGTCTCTACTAAAAATACAAAAACTAGCCAGGTATGATGGTGCACACCTGTAGTTCCAGCTACTTGGAGGCTGAGGTGGTAGGATCACTTGAACCAGGAAGCAGAGGTTGCAGTGAGTTGAGATCACACCACTGCACTCCAGCCTGGGTGACAGAGAGAGACCTTGTCCCCTCTTCCCCCCACAAAAAGGAAAAAAAACCCGGCCAGGCACAGTGGCACATTCCTGTGATCGCAGCACTTTGGGAGGCTAATGCAGGTGGATCACTGGAGGTCAGGAGTTGGAGACCAGCCTGGCTGGCCATTGTGGTAAAACCCCATCTCTACAAAAAATTAGCTGGGCATGGTGTCGTGTGCCTGTAGTCCCAGCTACTCAGGAGGCTTAGGCACGAGAATTGCTGCAGAGGTTGTAGTAAGCCAAGATTGCGCCACTGCACTCCAGCTTGGATGACAGAGCAAGGCTCTGCCTCAAAAAAAAAAAAAAAAAAAACACACCCAAAGAGTATAATAACTATTTATATAGCATTTGCTTTGTATTAGGTATTCTATGTAATCTAGAGATGATTTAAAGTATACTGGAGGACCAGTGCGGTGACTTACACCTGTAATCACAGCACTTTGTGAAGCCAAGGCAGGTGGATCACCTGAGGTTGGAATTTTGAGACCAGACTGGCCAACATGGTGAAACCCCATCTCTACTAAAAATAATAAAAATTAGCGGAGTGTGGTGTCACACAGCTGTAATCCCAGCTACTTAGGAGACTGAGATAGGAGAATTGCTTGAACCTGAGAGGTGGAGGTTGTAGTGAGTGGAGATCATGCCACTGAACTCCAGCCTTGGCAACAGAGTGAAACGCTGTCTCAAAAAATAAAATAAATAAAGTATGCTGGAGGATGTGCATAGGTTATATGCAAATAGTATACCATTTTATATAAGGAGCTTGAGCATCCTGATTTTGGTATCTTCAGGGGTCCTAGAACCAATTCCCTGCAGATACTGAGGGATGACTATGCAATGTCAATGCAATGTAGGTGGGGCTCTGTGGCTCACGCCTATAATCCCAGCAGTTTGGGAGGCTGAGGTGGGTGGACCACCTGAAGTCAGGAGTTGAAGACCAGCCTGGCCAACATAGTGAAACCCCATCTCTATTAAAAATAAAAGACTATCTGGGCATGGTGGCACACACCTGTAATCCCAGCTCCTCAGGAGGCTGCGGTAAGAGAATTGTCTGAGCCCAGGAGGCGGAGGTTGCAGTGAGCTAACATCTTGCCATTGCACTCTAGCCTGGGTGATAGAGTGAGACTCCATCACAAACAAAAACAATGCAATATAAATAGTTGTTATGCTGTATTTTACATTTTTGTGTTTTGTTTGTTTGTTTGTTTGTTTGTTTTGAGACGGAGTCTCGCTCTGACACCCAGGCTAGAATGCAGTGGCATGATCTTGGCTCACTGCAACTGCCGCCTCCCAAGCTCAAGCAATCCTCTTGCCTCAGTTTCTCAAGTAGCTGGGACTACAGGCATGCACCACCATGGCCAGCTAATTTTTGTATTTTTAGTAGAGAATGGGGTTTCACCACGTTGGCCAGGCTGATCTTGAACTCCTGACCTCAGGTGATCTACTCACCTTGGCCTCCCAAAGTGCTGGAATTATAGGCGTGAGCCACTGTTCCTGGCCTGTATTTTGTATTATTTTTTATTGTTATATTATTATTTTTCGTAGGTTTTAATAAATATTTTTGGTCCACAGTTGGTTGAATCCATGGATGCAGAATCCACAATACAGAGGGCCAAATTATTCTTCCAAAGTGTTATGATATCATGTCTTTTGTATTTTCTCTGTTTTGAATTTTTATCTTGAAGAAAATTCTCTTTCATTTTGGTAAAGAGTAGCAGAAGTAACTATCTGTTGACTCCATCATTTTTAACCAGAAGCTGGCAGCTCTTTAACACCTATGAACTCCAGCCTCTAGCCCTGGTTCTCTTACTGTAGTTTCTCCTTGAATGCTCTCAGCCAGTCACAGAGCTTCAGCTACTAGCTATATGTTGATAATGTTCAAATCTATAGGTCATGCCTAAAATGCCTGTATTCATTTCCTATTGCTATAGGAACAAATTACCACAAACTTGGTGGCTTAAAACAGTAGAAATTGGCCTTCTCATGGTGCTAGGGGCCAGATGTCCAAAATCAGTATCACTAAGATGAAATCAAGGTATCAGCAGGTCCACACTCCCTTTGGAGCTTCTAATAGGGATGCTTCCTTGCCTCTTCCAGCTTCTGGTGGCTCTGGGGGTTCCATGACTTATGGTTATATCACTTCAATCACTGCCTCTGTGACCACGTTGTGTTCTTTTCTCTTGGTGTGTATAATCTCCCTCTGCCTTTTCTCTCTCATTTCTTAAATTTTTTTTTCTTATTTTTTGTAGAGATGAGGTTTTTGCTACATTCCCCATGCTGGTCTTGAATTCCAGGCTTCAAGTGATTCTCCCACTTTGGCCTCTCAAAGTACTGGGATTATAGGCATGAGCCATTATGCCTGGGTGCCTTTCTCTTATAAGGATACTTGTGATGGCATGTAGGGGACCACCCAAATAATCCAGGATAATGCCTTTATCTCAGGATTCTTAATTTAGTCCTATCTGTGAAAACTTTACTATAGAAAATAACATTCACAGGTTCCAGGGATTAGGACCTGGTATTTTTGGGTACCACCATTCAGCCCACTATAGTGTTTTCCTGAACTCCAGACCACATTTTCAACTGCCTGTTGCTTTATTCCACAAACTTCAATCTCAGTTTGTCCATGCTACTAGCATAGAGATAAAAACAACCAATTTGGGACCTAAAGAATTAGATTTGGGTCCCTGGCTCCACAAGCAGTACTCAGTCACTTCTTGCTTATTCCTCTGGTCTGCTTTCTGTTTCTTGAACACATCAAACTTATTCCTGCCATAATTGTTCTCTCTGCCCAAAATATTATTCCCTTAAATCTTTGTGTGACTGGCCGGGCGCAGTGGCTCATGTCTATAATCCCAGCACTTTGGGAGGCCGAGGCGGGTGGATCACAAGGTCAAGAGATCGAGACCATTCTGGTCAACAAGGTGAAACCCCGTCTCTACTAAAAATACAAAAATTAGCTGGGCATGGTGGTGCATACCTGTAGTCCCAGCTACCCGGGAGGCTGAGGCAGGAGAATTGCTTGAACCCAGAAGGCGGAGGTTGGGATGAACCAAGATTGTTCCATTGCACTCCAGTCTGGGTAACAACAGTGAAACTCCGTCTCAAAAAAAAAATCTTTGTGTGACTGCGTTTTTCTCATCATTCAAGTCTTATTCAGAATTTGCTTTCCTAATTGACCTTATCAGACTACTATAGCACCTATCAAACATTTTACAGTTCTTGTTTATTCTTTTTTCTTTCTTTTTTGAGTCAAAGTCTCACTCTGTTGCCTAGGCTGGAGTGCAGTGGCACAGTCTCAGCTAACTGCATCTTCCACCTCCTTGGTTCAAGCAATTCTCTTGCCTCAGCCTTCCAACAGCTTTCCAAATAGCTGGGATTATAGGCGTGAGCCACTGAACCCAGCATATTCATTCGTTTTGTATCTCTCCTGTCCCCACTAAAATATAAACTCCAGGAGATCAAGGACTTGTCATTTTTTTTCACTGCTCTATCTTTGGATCCTCATAGGTAGTCAATACGCAAATGAAGGATGTTAAAATGGACAGAGAGACTAATGGATCCTAGTACCACAATGGGAAATTATTCCTTAGTAAGGTGCTTGAAATCTTAAAAAAAATAACTGAGGAAACCCATATTTATAGAGTGACTTTTATTTTGTTATATTTTCTCTTTTAAATTTCTAATAAAGCAATACATTCAAATAATACAAAATAAAATATTGGCTGGGCACAGTAGCTCATGACTATAAACCTAGCACATTGGGAAGTCAAGGTGGGAGGATTGCTTGAGGCCAAGAGTTTGAGACTAGCCTGGACAACATAGCACAACCCCATCCCTACAAA